ATATTGTTTTGACTTCATCTTCATGATTGTATGTGATGAGTTGAATTAAAGATACTGCATGATGAAATTATAGAGTATATTAATTAACTACTTGCATAAAATAATTACTATATATATTATTTACATTCTACAGATATGTTGCTATAGACAAGCTCCACATGTTATTATTATACTGGCTACAGAATAATAAGAATATGAAGTATATTAATCTAGTACTTGTATAGAATAATTACTATATATATTATTTACACTCTACAAGCATATTGCTATAGGCAAGCTCAATATGTTGTTGCTATACTGACTGCAGAATAATAATATAAAGTCAGTTTCTCTTCTTTTATCTTTTCTTTCTCTTCTTCTTCTTTTTTTTCAGAGCTACTGTTGATAATTCTTTCTTCTTTCTGATTATTTACTATTCTGTAATATCTCTGTACAAGAACCTGTGCTGTAATAAAATAAGTTATATTAAGAGATAAGTGCTTGCAGAATACTGCTCTAACATATATTATTTACTGACAAGATGTTAGTTTTCCCCATATATGTTCATTTTATACAGTCAGAGAGAAGTAGCACAAGACCATATTAAAAGAATGAGCTCTGAAGAAGAGTAATTAGCATAAAGTTAATAAAGACATTGATCTGGCTAACTTTGATCAGAAGAATCTCTGCCCCTACCATCTTATTTATAACTAAAAGTTCAGCACTTGTATGTCAAAAAGTAATAATTTTTAGTAATAATCTTGATGCTAATTAATAAAATAGATGTTATTAAAAAGATCTGTCACTTCTAGAGCTCTACAGAGCTAATTCTTCTGATAACTCTGTTCTAGTAATTGATTTATAAAATTACTTTATTCTGTCATCAAGAACATGAATATTACTGATAATATTCTGCTATTAAGTTATTTTAGAAGACTGCTGAAGTAATCTTGTGTACTTTATTTAAGTATAAGTTATTATTAGCAATAGTATCAACAATTATACTGAGTAATATAGACTTTGTTATAGTAATAATGCACTGTAAGCATGTTATAATCAATACTGATGACATGAAGCTTGTTCTTGGCATCAGTATCATAACTAGATTAAACTATTTTAGTCTAATTAATATGTCTGATTGCCCTGTCTCTACTGCTTCTACTTCTGCTGTCATTACCTGCTGTCTGTATTCTGCTTCTGCCCCACTAACTACTGCTGCTGCTTCACTATCATTATCACTGTCTATTACTGCCTCTCTGTCTCTCTCTAGTGCTGACAAGGTCTCTGTCCATCAAATAGTAGATATTAGAGCCCCTGTCTGGTTCACAAAGCTGGTTCTGGAGAAGCAGAAGAAGAAGAAGAAGAAGAAGAAGAAGAAGAAGAAAAGAGAGAAGAAAAAGAAAAAGAAGAAGAAGAAAGAGAAAGAGAATTATAATAATAATAAGAATGATAATAATGATGAGAATAATAATAATAATAATAATAATGAACTTGCTATTTAGACAGTTTCTAGTTATTTACTAGCTTTAGCTATTACTTAGTTCTAATGCTTTGTTTTTTTCTTTTATAATTGAATTGATTTTTCTAAGAGTTCTGCCTTCATCAAAAAAGTAATAAAATTTAGTAATAGTTTCATGCAAAATTTGATCAGTTTGACTCTTGATATAATAGAGCTGGGAAATCTTGTTCCATTCTGGTCCCACTGTAGACCTGGCTGAAATAAGAAATGAGAGCCTATCTTCTCTGCTGGAATAGAACATGGGATATAATTTTCTATTTGAGAATGGAACTGGGAAATAATTTATGAGATAGGGATGGTAATAAGACCTCAAGCTCTTGAGTGAGATGGAATATGAGACTGAGATTTCATATTTAGAATTCTGGCTGTTTCTAAATTCAGGACTGGGACAAGCTTCAATGGGAAATAGAATCCTGTTCTGGTCCCAAATACCAGCCTAAGTAATATAGACTAGAGAAGAAAAAGAAGAAAAAGAAAGAGAAAAACAAAGCAAGAAAAAGCTCTCTCTTAAGCTAGTGCTCATTATCTAATAGTAATACAGAGCTAGTAAGAACAATAAAAACTCTTTACATATTATTGTATTATTAAGCTCTGTTGTGTTGTTGTATTATTAGAGTTGTATTGATATTACATCTCTAGTAAGGCTGTACTCTTTTTCTTATAAGAAAATTTTTATTTTCTTAAGAGATTTCTTGTTTTTCTACTCATGAAGATTTTTAATAAGATAGCTATCTTGAGAAATCAAGACTTACAAGAAAGAAAAATCTGTAAGAATTTATTTATAAATTTCTTATACAGATAAATAATATCTGCAAGAGTTTAGAGTCTCAGCTTGCAAGCTATTAAAAGTACATGTATTTTTACAAGATACTAAGTTACATGCTCACAAGCACATATAAAAGACTGCCACTATATAAACTTCTTGTTGGAAGCCAGTGGTAATCTTGTCTACAAGTCATATATAGTTGCTAATACCAGATCTTTTACCTCACATACTTTTTTCTATATACAATTCCTCCTATAGATTCATTGTCACACTGATCCACATGTACAATACTCACAGACTGAACTTTTGATGACATGCCATATAGAAGACCAAAACACTATTCCCCTTTTGACTTAGCACCATACACAAGTGTTATGAATATATTGTGCATACACTCACATACCATCTTTTCTCTCTCTCTCCAAGCAATATGTTTGTGTATATAGAGCTTTAGCTAGTAACCTCAGCTAGGCCCATGACAATTCCTGCAGAATGAGAGAGCAGTGCATCTGGGCACAGAAAACAGAATACAGAATGAGAGAGAAAGAGAATAAGAAAGTATATTACTGTTCAAGAAAGTAAGATTAGGTTTATATAGATTATCTGGTGACATTGAGGCAGCATGAGATGGTGCAAAAGCAGTGAGCCAGGCACCATCCCTGAAGTGGCAATGGCCATGCTGCAACAGGCATAGTGCATGTTGTGGACCAATGGCAGGCCTGAATCGCCTGATCACCGGGCTGGGCGCCCCGCTAACCAACACAATGTATACTCTGTACTCCGTACAGAGTACTCCGTATACTCATATGAATTCTAAGAGTCTGTGGGGTATTTACTAGGGCTTTTCTTTGATAAATGCAATAAACATGGTCACAATATTTTTTTTAAAATGATTACTTACTTTCTATTCCCATGGACATGGAAGCATATTCATACAACCCAGTAGAAACACTTAAGATCAAACCCTTTTTGAAGGAAGAAATCGGTATCTCCGATAAAGAAGACAATAGAAAGGAGGTATCAAAAGAGGCTAGTCGGTAATGAAAAAAGCACGATAATTTTAATCAAGATGGCATGGTTTTCTATCTATTCTTCATCCGCATCTTCAACGCTAGCGGTCAATCCACGCTTCGTGGCTTCTCCGGTGTTAGCTTGGGGCTGAGCTCCAGTGGATGTCGCTGTTGAGCTTTTGGGTTGGGAGGGTCGCTCGGGAGGTGTTATCGTATTGTCGGTCATTTTCTTGGCCTTCTTCTTTTTCTTTTTGGTCTAGGTGCTTGTTAGCTAAATTATGCCCCTTCCAAGCCATGGTTGTCACGGTTGGGTGGAGAGCGAATGAGAAAGGATTTGAACATACCTCCTGCCATCCCCACACTGGCCTAAAGCTATCAAAGAATCCGACATCCTCGAACAGATTGGGGTACAACCAAAGACCCGGTGGCACAACGAAAAACGTAACGCAGAATAGTATCAAGCGGAAGATCGACATCGCGAAGAACAACCCCAACAAGCCCATCATTGCGATACTCAAATACCACACGCCCTGTCTCAACATCATGGGCCATAGTGGGAACATGACCACTGCCATAATGGCGATGAGAACGCCCGCAGCCATAGCTTTCTGCTTCCACTGTGGTCCCTCGTAGAGCCATGCGTAGTGCATCATTGGGTCGGTGTCTTGGTGCTGCTCTATACGCACGTTCCACTGTCCTTTGACTCGTTTTTGCTTGGGACGGTTCGGTTGCTCGATTTTGGAAACACGGAGTGCGAGAAGGGACATGGGCAGGAGTTTGAAAGTGTTTTCGGCAGAAGCGCGATCGGTTACCGGTGGGAGTAGAGAGTTGGGTTTTGATGCCGCTTTGGTGTAGGCAGGAGATTCCAGTGCTCGAATTGCTCGTTTTACTATAAATTCACAAGTCAGTAATTCTGGCTGGTTTTGAAAGGTTTTTCGTAGCATGTACCCTTAAATAATTCTCTTCTCCGACCATCCAAGATGCATGTTCTCGTCTTAAGGTTTTGTGATCTGAGGAAATTGGCAACGGCAAGTGCCTTCGGGTCCGCTGGAACTCCTGATTTCACAGGTATTTGTCTCTGATGCTGATGGCCATGATTGTGGTCACAGCAGCCCTCATGTTGGTGGTCGTCTTGGCCATGCTCATGGTCATGGCTGTGGTTGTGGTTGTGGTTGTGGTCGTGATCGTGGTCGTGGTCGTGGTTTTCTCCTGACTGTTGCTGCTTTTGCATCTGGTGTTGATGCATGGCCTGAGCTCTCAAATGGTTGATGTATTGTTCCGGAGTCATACCGCGCTTCGCAGCCTCTTGAGTGAGTTGTTGTCGTTGCATGTTCGCGAACTCTTCTGGTGTCATTCCACGTTTCGCGGCTTCGGCGGCCATCTGCTGTTGCATGGCCGCGAGCTGCTGCGGCGATGGCTGAGGGGCAGCCATGTTGAAATCGGAAGTCAATCAGTACCAGGAAGTAACCAGCGGGATCAGAAAAATACTGCGCTAATTAGGGCTCCCAGAAGTTGATCGAGCTCGTCTGGCGGTGGTTGTTATATATGTGTTGACTTTCATTGATGATCCGCCCAAAGTGGCCAGATCTAAGATTCCAAAAAGGGAAAGGCGGGGATGTGCGCCGAGGCCGCCGTGTGCGTGGTGGCAAGCTTCCAACGATCGACGGCATTGGGCTTGTGCCTGGTAGAGAACCATAAGAGCAACGAGAACTCCTTTTTGTGGATGGTGAATGCCTTATGCAAGTGAGATTGTGTTTTCAACTGCAACGCAATTCAATGCCGATTCCAATCTCCGGCTTGTTTGAACTCCGGCTTTCCCCGCCTCCATGAGAGCTTTCGTTCCCGGCAACAGCTCTCTCCTACAGCCGCCTTGGGGAACAGTTCAGCTGGTATGTCAGGATATCGTTCTCAATCGAGGTGGTTCCCTACTAATTTGTTTCTTGGTGTAGTCCCAGCGAGATGTTTCAATACAGATCCCAATCAATCTTGTAACTCAGCCTGCCGTTTCTCTTTCAGCAGCCTGCTTTGGAAAGAAGGTCTATGATGAAGAGGCAGCAAAGCAATGCATTTCGAATCTTCTCTCCGTGGGATACCGACGATTGTATGTTGATCTATATTGGTCCCGTGAGAGAAAGAAATGGAGTCTGTGCCCAGTAACAACACCCTTGATCCCACTTGGAGCAACCGTTCCCAGGAGGCTCCCATTCCTCGGGCTGAAACTACTCGGATTCAACCGGAAAACTGGTTCTCCAGCTGTGGGTGGACATCTCAATACTCGACAATCGCGCAATACCACTAGGCCTTCCGATACAAACCCCGTTGAAGATTCCACCGTTGATCAGACTGAAGTACCTACCAGAAAAGGACCTTCCGGAACAGTTCTGTTTGAATTGGGGCCTTATTCATGTTCCGCAAATGTTGACCTAACCGGCTTACTAAATGTTGTGGCCGATTATTTCAAAAGCACAGAAGATACTTTGAATGCGCATTTGACCTATATTATCTTTGACCTTCATGCCGCATCTCGTCCTGATACCCCTCACGGTTCAGCGCCAACTCTAAAGGGAAGGGACCTTCCATCTCTCTCAGACTCCTTAGGCACTACCGCAAACGATGCGTTGGGAATGTATATATATACGCCCTTGGAGCTTGATTCCGAAAGAAGAGACTTGAACAGGTCCTGGTATTCTGTGGCTCCGCGAATGGGTCCCGTTCCAGAGTACTTTAATATAATCGGAAAGGCTAACTCACGTTACGAAACACCGGATGGATGGCCAAGTGAAGGGTATGTGGAGCTATCCAAGGCGCAAAGACTTGTGATGGGATGGGGAAAGGTAGATCTGCAGATGAATGCATACGATTTCAAGAACGATAATATGATAGTCTTCTCGCCCGGCTCGCTCACGTCTTTTGTCACCGTGGCTAAAGATAACAACGACAATATCGTTGGCAAATGCTTATACAACCCTAATACCACTGATATTTCCGATGTCCAAACATGGGCCACCGCTGAGATTCCAGAAGCAAACTCTACCGTGCAGTTATCTCTCTTCTCCAACCAGATGGTCTCGTGTGGTATATCACCACTAGTTAACCATACACTCCTCAATGTCACTGCTGACCAAGACATTGGACCTTATCGAAATGTGTCACTCTCCTCTATCTGGTCTTGGGCAGATGGAGAACCCAAAGATTCAATAAACGCTGGGGCGATCGATGAAAACCGCTGCTCTGTGATGGACCTTTCGCTTTCTGGCCATTGGCGCTCGAGTGGTTGTTCAGATCGACTCTACGCTGCATGCCGCATAAGGAATTCTCCGTTCGACTGGACACTGTCGAGAGAGCCTGAACCCTATACGCTGGCCGGCGACACCTGTCCTGAGGGCTCCAGCTTTGATGTTCCCCGCACGGCGTTGGAAAACACGTACCTCTACAAGCATGTCCTCCAGCAATCGAAGGATCTCATTGACCCGTCATCTGAGGAGACGGAGAAAACAAGTATATGGCTGGATTTCAACTCCTTTGATGTCCCGGATTGTTGGGTTTCGGGTGGACCCAAAGCCCAATGCCCATATGAGGTCGATGAAAGCGCCATTCAGCGACGCAATATTTTGGTTCCTAGCATCGCTGCTATTATCATCTTGATTATAACGGCGTTGACTCTCTTTGTCAAGTGCAATGCAAACCGGATGAATTCAAGGAGAAGAAGAGTAATTGCTGGATGGGAGTACGAAGGTGTACCGTCATGAGTGTCTGGTCAGATAATACTCTGGTGTACGGTGCGAGCTCGAATTCTAGATAGTCCATAGGTTCATCTGCGTGTATACTCTTGGGTAATATAGTTTTGCCGTGTATATATTTGGCTATTGCCGAGATATCGAAATGATAATATCTCCGCGAGGCAGCCCATCTTGAGGCTTGTTCTAGGAAGACGTTGCAGGAATGAAAGTGTATCTAACCAAATTGATAATCTATAGTACAGGTGTTCTATATAGGTCGATCTCTATACTACCTCTCTTTAAAAGGAAATGAGTAGAGAAGTTGTTGTAACCGCTGTCATAAAATTGTAAGTATGCATTGTTATGACAACACATCTAACATCTCCTCAACACGACCAAATTTTTCTCGAATCTTGCCCCTAGACTTGCCTCTCTCCACCTCCGCGCGGTCAATCGCTTCCCAATCTTTCCAGCTTGTTGGCCGGAGGCCAAGCTTCTCTGCATCACCGCGTACGCCCTCCCAGCCAAGTCCAGTGCTCCCTCCCTCATCAGAGTTCAAGAACGCCGGGGCACCGCTAGAAGCCGAAACATGATGCGCCCAATCCGCCGCGATCGCATCGCCAGTGGCGAATGCATCTGTCATCGTTGAGGCAATGACACCGGTAGGGCCACGCTTCACCCAGCCAGCGCAATACAGCCCGGGGAGGTGACTTGGCACGGCCTCCGGAGCGGACGAGGGTGGATTAGCTTTCACGTCGCTGGAGGAATCATAATCAATGATTCTTCCTTGTCCATCGTTGGGGATTATCCCACGTGAAGCATTGAACGGGATCTGAAGGTCTTCAAAGCCTTCGAGAGGGACGGATTGATATCCTATGCTTCGGAAGCAGACGCTAGCGGGGATGTCAACCTGCATTGCTTTGCCGTCATCGCCAAGGAGAGGAGTGGCTCGTGATGATCGAGAGAAGGGGTCTGAGGGGTCAAGTTGGTTGCGAGTAAATTTTATGTATGATAGGTCACTAGATTGATTCTTTGGTGAGGTGTGAAAGGAGTGGGGAGAGAGTAGAAAATCGAGAGACCCAGATCTGTTTGCTGTTGAAGGGTCTGTGGATGAGCCTTTGGCGAGGAGTTCGGTTATGCGTTTTTGGGCTCGGGGCAGCCTTTTGATTGCTGATACCGGCGGGAAGAGATATTCGGGAATGGGCTCGAAGGATACGGAGGGTAACTGTAATAGCTCGCGGATTTCTTTGATTGTGAACGCACCCTGCATGTTGTTGTCAGTTATCAGCCCACGGCTAACCTGATGTCGAATGATGGATAAGTACCTGCATTGGACCTCTTCGTCCAACCACCCTGACTCTTTTAATCTTGCTCCGGGACAATTCCTCCAGGGCATACTCTGCCATATCCGTCTTCCGCAAAATATCGACGTCCGTCAACAAAACTCTAGCAACATCCATAGCTACGTTTCCTTGCCCAATTACAACCGCCTCTTCACTGCTTGCTAGACCCGGTTTAAGGTCTCGGTACTCTGGGAGGCCATTGTACCAGCCAACAAACGCCCTAGCAGAGTATATTCCACGAATGTCTCGTTCTCCGGGTATTCCTAATTCCCTATCCTTCGAGGCACCGTAAGAAAAGAGGATGGCATCGTAATGCGGCTTCAGGGACCGAAGGGGGAGAGCGGCGCCCAGCTCGACATTTCCAATAAAATTGAAACGGGAAGAGTTAGCTACTTCGGTGAATTTATCTTGACAATTCTACGGGCATAAAATCAGCAACTGCACTGAGAATAAGGATACAAGGGTATGAATTACTTTCACCTCCGGATGGTCTGGCGCAACGCCATATCGGACCAGTCCAAAGGGAACAGGCAAATGCTCGTACATATCGACGAAAGCATTATCAACCTTCCCCATCAGCCTATATGCAGCATAGAACCCCGCAGGTCCAGAGCCGATAACTGCAACACGGAACGGACGAGACGAATGAGTAACGTCACTGCTGTACTTCCGTCGACATGTTGAATTGATCACGGCGCGCTCATAACCCTCAACCGCTTTGCTGATCTGAAGCGAGCACCGAATGCACACATTTCCTATTCGAGGCAACATTCTTGATAGAACTCGTCGCAGGCACACGGGACGCAGCCGGAGTTCGTCGCATCTGGGTCTTGATGAATTTGTCAAGGGGGCGGCGATAAGCCATATGAGTCCGGTTGCCCTGCCAACAATCGGCGCGCGAATTATTTAGAGTGACTAGGCATCACAGCTGCCAGCCGGGAGAACTCGAAAGACGATATTACCCTCGACTCTCCCCCACTTCGTCAAGGAACCATCCTCATTCCATTAATTTCTGGATGCTTTAACTAGTTATCCTCTGGGCTGTGACAATGGGGCGGAGTGAGCCGCCGTTCATTTACGATCCCCCATCACGACAAACGCCCGGCTCTCCAACCAAGCCATTCAACCCCAAGGCACATACCCAGGCATCTTGGGCTCCGCGCGAACCGAAGGCAAAGAAAAATGGCCCGCTGGTCAATTTTAACCAACACCCAGATTCTGTGTGTAACTAGTCTACGGCGATCCATAGATTCTGAACACTGACCTTTCGAGTAACAGTTCGGATTGATCGCGGGTGGTAGGGGCAAAATCAAATTAATGAGCCCTCGAACAAAGCAGAGGGTAAAATACGCCAGGTGGTCACAACTAGCATTGAGAGTTTTGACCCTAATTGGAGCTCTCGGGATACTATTCTGTGTTATTTGCATCAAGGGGACAACACTGACCCTTGCATGGATGATACGCGTCCCAGTAAGCCCAAAGAGAATTCGAGGTGACTAGAACGGAGACTTATTCAATATTAGCCTTGCGTAACGATCCTCCATACTATCTACGGTATTTACCATCTCTTTCGATCCGCGACCGCGCGAACTCCCGCCTCATCGGCAAGCTACATGTTGTTTGCATCGGTGCTGGACGCCGGACTGATCCCATTGTATGTTTTTACCAGCATCGTCTCAAACGTGGAGTACGAAACCAAGTCTTACGGTTGGGAGACTCTCTTTGGAAATGAAGGAGTAAGGGAGGCGATCATCCACGCGACTTTTCTTGCCGCTTCAACTGTGGGCGGGCTTCATTTAATCTCACTAGGTTTGGACCTTTATTTAGCCATTGTCTTCCGACAGATATCAAAGCTTCCACCGGATATGAATCCCTTAGAGGATAACCTCACGTCTCGAGGACAAAAGCGAAATAAGTCAGAAATCGCAGAAAAGCATTTGAGCCAGAGCACAACGGCCTCCACCGAGGCCAATCGCGAATCACTCGCTCAGGAGCCATTGATACCTACCCGGACAGTGCCTTTCATGCACACTAGGGCCGATTCATCAAGCACGCTTTCTGGAAGTGACCTTCGAGGAACAGACAGCCCCCGGACATCATATTACTCAGCGCAATCCTTCAGGTATTCGCGATCGGATCTTCCGAGCCAGCAGACTTTTCATTATGAACAGGCGAACAAGTCAAAAGTGGAGATTGCACGTACTCCGGCGCAGCGGCGTGGTACCACTCCATCCAGGCCCCAGTCTATGGTCAGAGATGCTCCTCCTGTCTCCGATCAGTCAAATTTGACTGCCCTGGATGCGAGACAGCGCGACCCCAGCGGTGTTTCCGCCTTATCGGATGAGAATTGGTGTATCTATCCATCTTCACCTCCATCACCTGAACTATGCCCCGATGATTCTGCAGCTAGACCGTTGTCTTTACCCAGCGGAGGAAATACTCCTATGATACCGGGTATTGATGACGAGAAATGGGATAATTCTAGTTTCCTTGACAGCCTTCAGTATCGGAGTGACACCGTAATGCGGCATCGAGGTGATTACACAGCCATTGACGACTGCGATAACGATGAAATTATATACGGTAATCAGCATGCCGAAAACTCGTACGTCCCCGAACGTGACTTGGGAGACCATCAGGTCGTGGTGGCGCAAGATGAGAACAACGACTATAAGCACCAGCCGCTCCTGAATCCATTGGAAATGAATCCGCCAACTCCCCGGCCGACTGAACAGGGGTCAGTCAGCTCACGTCATTCAAAGGGTAGCTTACGTCGTGTTGCGCTGGCAGATATGCCAAACCCACCTTCTGACAGTGGCAGGCCAACGCCCGTCAAGAGTGCCAAATTCAGGTCCTATGGCGAACTAGACCAAGCCAAAATTTCTCCCGCACAGCGTGTAGGAAGCCTTCGTGGTAAAGACTTGAAAGTCACAACCCCAAATATCACAAACAAAAAGAAATCACGATGGAGGCGCATGACGGGCAACTACGAAGCGGTTGATGACAATGATCACGATAGTGATAGTGATAGGAATGATAGCCTATCAGATCAAGAGAATCGCGACCGTACGGGTCGTGTCGTCAGTAACACCGGAATTGATTTGGGGTTAGGACTTGGCTCTAAACCTGCAGGGTATGGAAGTTACATTGCAGGCCTGGGTGTGGGAAGAAGGCGTGAAGTCAGTGGAAAAATGGCAGAAGAGGGGCGAGGAAGTCGTTTGGCTCCTGAGGATGATGACTATGAAGGAAAGGGGAAGAGACTATCAAAGACAGGCGAATATCGAGCTGCGGGATGGGCTCGATTCAGGGGTCTTTGAAGGTCTGGATATCCGCAAAGAATCTCGACTGGGCTAGGACTGGATTCCTTTGTGTTGGAGTGATTTCGGATCCGGTGTTTATATCCTGGGAATTTCTGATATTTATGCTGCCATGAATGTATGTTAAGGATGCTATAGTTACTGCTCAGTTGTATTTTGATATCACCGAATGCCGTTGTCTGTGTTGCTGAGTCAGGTGGTTCCTTGGACTTCACATCTTGCTTGGATTTAAACATCTTGACGTCTTGCCACTCCACACAGCGCGTACCTCAGGGGTCAGCTCGCCTCAGCATCATTTGATGTGTTGATTGGTGACTTTGATCAATGCTTTAGCAATGAAAAAAAAATTTTTGTTTCTCATCCTGACCACTGGCTTGCACAGTGAGACATTCAGTTGTTCCTAGCACAGGTGCATCCTGTAGATTGTTCATTTGGGCGTCTCCGTCAGTAAGGGCCTCTGTCAGCTGGGCTTGGCTGGTTAATTACACCTGGGCTACTTCTTGCGTTTGGAAATTTGTTCCTTTCCTACTACCGTCGATGGGCCCATCGATGGCGCTGTCCGACCGGTCTCAAACCGGTTGGGCAATAAAATTTTAGTAGTATGAAGGCTGATTGCCTTTTAACTGCTAATTTTTCACCATCTGTAGCTTCAAAAAGAGAAATATTGACTCTCAGCTCAGTTGGCATTAATCCTGTTTCTTCCAATCACTTTTGTCCACAAAGTGTTCACTGAAAGTCTTCTTAAGGAGAGATGCCTCCCCATTCCTTTATGAGTTTGATATCTTCATAAAAGCCGTGTGGCATTCACTTAAATGGATATTTCCTTCTGACTCTCTCGGCATTCTCATCAGTTGATATATCTTCACCAACCCAAAGTTAGAAACTCTGCCCCCATTTCTTCAAGCATAAATCTCTTGCCTCGAATTCCATTCTCCTTGTTTCTCTCTCTTATCTTTAACCAATTTAATCTTTGGCCAATCATGGATATCAAAGCTTTCAAGGTGGCCCCTATCAGTGTGGTGCAGAAAAAGCCACTTACGTGCTACTATTGGAAGAATAGCAAATGCAAGTTCAAGGACAGCGAATGTCGCTTTATGCATGAGAATACTGGGAAGGTCGCTTCGGTTCCAAAAAGCAATAGCACATCCGGTGAGCGTGACCCTACCCGTTTCGAGCACTTTTGATGACTTATGGATTGACATGATCTTTCTTTAATAGCTGAACCACAATTAAGAGATACTACCGCCAGCACCTCTGAAAACGACGATCTTATCTCACTTTTCTCCTATAATGGTTCGCCGGGGCCTAAGGTATCACATCGTTCTCGACTTCTAGATGGGAGTTAAGGGTCGAAACTGATATAACTTCGTTTTTAGTTGGAAGAACCTCTCAAAACGGATATTAGCTGCGACACTATCCAAAATAGCCTACTTAGACCCCGTGTGGCTCGAATCTCGGCGTGGTTGATAATTCGTGCTATCCGTGAAAATCAAGATTATGACTCTATTAAAAGTTTGCTTACCGCCAATTCATTTTCAGAAGTGAAGGAAGTCTTGATCACGAACGAAAATGCGTTTTCTACTATATATGCCGCCATTTACGCAAATAGACCAGAGGTTGTGAAGCTTCTTATCGACTATGGCGCGAACCCGGATGCAACGGATAAGGCTACCAGTATCCCGCTCCTAGCATACGCCATTCTTAACCCAAGTATTACCGCTACAGAGATCGTTCGGGTTCTCCTTTGTCTCGGTGCTAATCCACATGCTATTCCTTCTCATATGTGGGAAAGCATGCATGATCATCACGAAAAGCCACAGAATGGCCCCAACTCATGGGCTCTTTGGTGTGACGAGGAGAATCAATCGCTATTGAAAAATAGCCTTAACATTTCTATGAAATATTATCTTCTTCAGGCTTCGAAAAACGACTTATCTACTTCCTTCCAGCGCAAAGGGGCGCGACACCTTTCCCCTTCTATCGTCGGCCAGAACTATGCTATCAAGCGCACTAAAGATTGCCTTACAGCTCATCGCATCTGCAAAGGTAATGCCCCCTTCGTGATGGCATTTGTTGGACTTCCCGGACATGGAAAAAGGACTTTGGCTCGGACCCTTGGGAACTTCCAAGAAATGTCTCCGTTTAATACAACTGGTCAACTTGTCCCAGGAGATAACAACGGACCGCTAGCGCCCAAGTCGAACAAGGGCGGCCTGGACGTCGTGTTTATCGATGGAGATAATGTTGACCACTCCTGGTTAAAAATGGTGCTTAATGGGGTTATCAGTGGTGAGGCCTCGGATACTCTGGATATTTGTCTGGTATAGTACTGCAATGCTAATCTGGAATAGCTACACACCGGGACGCCGAAACCTGCAAAACGGCTCGCACAAAGGTCGTTTACATTCTCTCTCTGACCCAGAGCGAAGAGTCAGCTTCTCGTGCCTATGCCAATAAATTAATATCCAGCGGTTGTGACCAAAAGGATGCTGGATTCCTTTATAGGATGGAAAATGAAGTAGAATCTCAATTAAGAACGGAACTTATCCAGACCTACGGTGTACGTACAGTTATCAAAGGGGTTTCACTTGATACTTGAGCACGGATTGGTTTGTTTAGTGGCTAATCGTCGTTTAACAGGCATCGATCGCTGGCCGTATTCAACATATTATTCCGTTCGTTCCATTCACACCACTTGAGTCTTCAGTGCTTGCACACCGATTCTTGATCGAAGGACTTCATAGCATGTTTCGCGATTATACTCGTCGCGACTATCCTAACTCAAGACAACTCCATCGCATAGAGCTTCGTGCCAGCGACGATGTTTACCGTTACTTAGGAGCCCCTTCCAATGGGTATGGAGCTCGCTTTGTCGAGCAGAAAGTAACATCGAAGGTTGTCTTACCAATTGTGCAACAATACTTAGAAAAGCTCTATCGAGATGTCAACAGCTTTAAGGGGCTAATTACTATCGAAACAACTTGGAAAAAGAGCGAATCTGATAATCTCGACACTATTGTGTTTGGCGGCGAAATAAAAGCTGCCATAGCCGTTGATGTTGAATAAGCGGCTATAACCTATAACTACTTCCCACCTGGCGCGTCTATAGCGGGACCCTTTTCAATGTGCGAACCTCGAATAGAAATGATTTTAATTACTTGCTAAACCCATTAGACCTATTGGTTAGATTTAACAGTTTGGACTTATTATTACAGATATGGCATGAACTATTCTCTAGGGAAAGATAAATACTTCATAAGCCTGGACGAATCCAATTCGATTTCGTACGAATAGTCGGGGAAACGACAAGGAGTATGAAGCCTATATATACCTTTTAGCCGACAATAGAAAGCCATCATTGTCAAAAGCCTACCCGATTCCAAGGAGGATGGTTTGAAGTAAAGAACGGCAGGGTATAAAACATTTCTTTTCGAAAAAATCTCATGAGAAATCCTCCCCAGTCTCCTCAATATTATCCTTAACCCGCAAAAATATCGCCGTCTTCCATTTATCCAACTTGCTCAGCTGATCGTACTGGAACAACTTATCACTAAACGCTTCCTGGTCACCTTGCTCCACAGCTTGCGTTAAGTCTGCGAGCAGTTGGTATTCGCGGGTAGAAAGGAACGTATTGTCGAGGTCTACGTAAGATTGGAGAGCGCGGTTGGTTGCAACGAGATCCTGGTTCAATCGGTCAGCATGTAGATAGGAACGTGGAGACGGGGAAATGGATGTGAACTGCCTTACCTTTGTAGCAAGGTGGCACATTCCGGCCTTGAGAAAGTAGTCTTTTACAGACCACTTCATGAGATGGTTGTTTATGGATGACTTGGCGACTTTTTCAAAATTCTCAATTGCCTTGTAGTAATCTCCCTTTAGTGCAGCGAGATCTGCCACCTTGAGAAAGTGCTTGTTTGCGAGCCTGAAGCATAGAAGTTAGCCTGTGCAAACCGGTCTTCTAGAGCGCGACCGGAAAACTCACGCTTCAGCATTGTCACCCTCAAACCACTCAGCCGCCTTCTCATACGCCTCCATGGCTCTTGTTTCATCACCGATCTCGACCTCGTATACCTCAGCCAAATTTTGTTGATGCGTCGCCGCCCGTCTGAAGTTTCCTTTTGATATATAATGCGAAATAGCGCTCTGCAAAGCGCGAGCTGCATCTTCGGGATCGGTCTTCCTGTAGACCTTGAATGCTTCGGTTAAAGCATTGGCCGCGTCGTCGGGCTCGTTGAGGTTGGTGGTGTAAACAGCTGCCGCTTTTTCAAAGGCCATTCCGGCTTCCTTATCTACCCAGAGGAACACGTTGTGTTAGCCGTTGCGCTCGTACTGTGATCTGGTGTACATGGCGGGGTTAAAAGCCGCGTGGGAGACCAACTCAGCTTTTGTACTCGAAATGCATTTGCAGCTTGTGTGTATAAATCCGCAGCATTCTCATATTTTTCTGTTCTTCCGCCAAAGAAGGAGAAGCCACCTGAAGCGCCCTGGAGTGTTTTATCTGCCTATTGCTCTGGTTAGTTGGCTGCTTTGGAGCCCAGATAGTACATCGAGAGGGGAGATGTGGTTGGTATTGATACGAACTTTTTGGAGGAGGACGCGAGGATCTTGTGACGCCATGGTCAATAGTATATACCCCTAAACTGTTGTGATATCGCTGGAAACACACAAGATACACACCCGGGAACACCAGAGGGGAATGATGATGATAAGAGGGGAACCGATAAGTGGATGCTTGACGTTGTTCGAAACCGGGCAATAAATCCTATTTTGCCGACCGTTAGCTGAAACCTAAATTTAGCTTCGGGTTTCGTCCTTAACAAATTCCGGCGGCCCTAACCGCCCTTAGGCTTCCCCCAGCACAGCCTTTAAGCACTCGAATAGACGCCCCCTAACCGGCCCTTAAGCCCCGGACCCAGCCTCTGATCGAGATGGGTGCCATGTGCCAACCACCAAATCTGTCACGGACGGCATAAAACACACCGTTCACCAGGAGTCCATTAGACCGACAGGTCGGCTAGCTGTCCGTTCTCAATTGTCCGCAGGGTTGTCACGAAGCAGATACCTGCCATCAAGCAAGTTTTATCCCTAAACCCGCGCAATGCCGCCGACGGTCGTCGCCCGTTGCTCCAGAGCACATCTCTTTCGACAACATACCAGAGCATGCCAAAAGGTCTCCCAGCTCCAAACGCATGATTTTAATCTAATAACACCAATTTCTCTCCGCCAATTCTCCTCAGCCTCCTCGTCCTCATCCTCACCCTCAGATGAAACCGATCTATCTACCGTCCTCTCGACGCCCACCTGGTCCATAAAATCCCTCCTCCGAGACTTAACCGACATCCCAGATACCCCAGTATCCCGGACCCAACTCCACCACCTCCTCCGCCTCTCTGCTCTCCCTCCGCCTTCTTCTCCTTCAGAAGAAGCATCCATGCTTAAAACCCTCTCATGCCAAATCCACTTTGTCAAGCAGGTCCAGCAAATCGACACCACGGGAGTCACGCCGCTTCGCAGTATACGAGATGAGACGGACGAGGCGCATAAGGAAAATACAATCAATATAGAACGGCTCAGAGACTCGCTGGAACGGGAAGAATTTGTGGGCCGGAATCGGAGGATTCGTCGACGTCGACCCGACAAGATGGAGCATCCGGACGAAGGATCATGGGAAGAGAAAGATGCATTGTTGAAATCTGCAAGTAAGATGATGGGCAAATTCTTTGTTGTTCAATCAAGCGAAGCAAAAGCAGAGTGATGGAAGATCCTGGGACAGTTTCTTCCGCTCCTTTTCTAAGGTGCTATTATACCCTTCTTTGTAAAATGAGGTAGCAGCAGAAAATAATGACTAGTAGATCATATTTTTTTTTGTCATACTATGGCTCCGTGATTTTAACCGGAGTTGCTATACATTTTTTCTTGTATCTCCCATATCATTAGAGTGGTAATAATTATCCATGCTCCCACCGAGAACATTTGAATTTTTATTCTCATGTAAAATGCAATTCCTTCCCTGTTAATCAATAGATGTCACCGTTCCGTTCGGGCTGTTCTTTTCAGGTGGCCAGGGGCGATCATATCGTAACCGGTTGCAACAGTCCGTTAGGCAATGACATTGTTGCGATCTTTAAATTCGGGGGCGTCTCAAGAGGGTTCGGGAGTTTGTAAGGTACATCAAGCACTGGTAGATTTCAAGCTCTTCCTGGGCTCTCGGAAAATTTTCGACAATTTAAATATCAACACCAGGAAGGCTGTGGACGTGTTAGGGTCGGGGGGGTTTGTGATATGTCAGAAGGGATGCATGGATGGCAGGTGGGTGTAGAGGGTGAAATGAAATATCAGCTTGATACTGTGTAGAAGTGACTTCGGGGTATGCTTCGACAAATTGAAACGCTAATTAAATATTCGTAACGGTCATGAGAATGGCTTTTGTCCGTAAACACAATGGCTATCATGGTTATTAGTATAAGTTGTGTCAGCATAGCAAAGAAGATATTGTTGGTGCTCACGCAGTAGTATGGATGTGAAAGTCCATATTCCTCAAATCCTGCCGCACACCAGCAAGCTGAGCCTGAATCATCGTGTTGTTCCAATCCAGTACTCGGGTGAATAGAGCCAGGCAATAAGGCTCAAGAGAGTCAGCCATGACGATTCGCATGTATTCCCCGAGAGTTTTCAGCCTCGGATCCGCGGGCCAGGGCGATAGAGGCGCCTTTCGACGCTCATCCACGACATTAACAAACCCAGCCTCTTCTACCATCTCACGAAACCGTGCTGCTAGATTAAGTTCCTTGCCAAATTTCCTGGCCGCATCGGCTAACAGTGTCTGAAATTGAGCATATGCCGAATCCGGCGGAAGACTGTCATCATCTGTGGATGCCCATGCCTCGAAATCAATGAGCTCTATCCACCCTCCAGGGGCCAAGTTGTCATATGCTTGTTGTAGTAAGCGTGGCCAGTCCGCTATGCTTCCTGCCAGAGTTCCAAGATGTATGTAGTCAAAAGTATGACTAAATTGCCACTCATCCTCAGCGTCATCAACCTCGAATTGCAAATTTTCCGGAACGAACCCGGGCTGTATGGCGGAAAGATCGGTCGCTATGACTTCAGTATTAGGAAATTTATCAGCAAACTCAATCGCCCACTGTATATATAGCGAGAGAGTTAGCAAACAAAAGTCACCCCTAAAGCTGAGAAGCACGGAATATTCGACCTACAATTCCTGTGCCACAGCCAATATCTAAGGCATATTTTATGTCCTTGGAAATGGGAGCACGGTAGATATCGCCGTCGTAGAGGAGCGTGTAGAGATGATGCTGCATATCCAGCCGGTCCTGTTCTTTCTCATCGTTGGGCAGCGGGTATTCACCCGCGTGGTAGGCATGGTACCGTCTACCGTTCTCATACCTAGCAAATGATCCGGGCTGTCAAAAAGAATTCATCAATTGAATTATACAGAAACCTACTCGTAGTCGAAGACGCTTTCCGTTAAAGAGAAATTATCGGGGTCCTGCATTGGGAGTCGAAGAGACCATTCGGCCTCATGCGATTGAGCCAGAATTAACCGTTAGCTGTCCTTAAGAAGAAATACGAATTTGTTTCATAAGAAAGACTGCAAAAGAATTGAGAAGGAGGAGAACTCGAAATCGCCGGTAATCCGTGTCCGACGGGGCGGCGACCATCGTTTATTAGTTACCAACCCCATGGTTTTCCCTTGTTCTTCAAGTTGACGTACGGAGCGACTTTTGACTTTGAGCCGTCTTGAATGTGGGGGTGTATTGTGCAAAATGGGATTTGAACGCTGGTAACTTTGGAAATAGCACATTCTGCTGCAGTCTGGTCCATGCAGGAATGGATTCCTGGATTACCGCTGATTGGCTTTGAGTATCCACGGACCACTCTGAAAATTGGGTCGTAGCACTTCCGGCTTCCTGGTCATGAGTTGGTTCGCTTTGGCCGAACCTTGTTGATAATTGCTGACACCGCCGTTGGCATGCTGATCACCCCCTTTGCCGAGTGAACGTTTAGTGTGATGTGGTTTACCACTCTGACGGGACGTGAGATCACCAAGAGTCTCCAGTAAACATTGGCGGCAACCCCCCATCCCTGCGTTTCCAGATCCCAACAGAGCGGTGCCGTCGGTATGACATTAACCGGACAGATGCCTCCTGCTAAATAAACGGCCACGGCACGGGTATATCCACAGAGATCCAACCAAAAATTACAAAAATACGGCTGCATAATCTGCAGCAACCAATTGTCGGTCCCCCAGATGCATTCTTTGCTGGGATTAGACTTCTCGCATTCGTCTAATTTCAATAAAGCTGGAGACCTTAACAAAAGTCTCAATTTACTTTTATTTTTATTTTTATTTTTTGCTTCATGCGACAATGGAATGAAGAGTCGTCATTCAGAGCTCCTTGATACATCGCAGAAGTGTTTCACATAGCAAGGCATAAGCATGTGTGTGGCTTATTTCAAGGTAACATTCTGTCGGAACTTGCATCCTGAAGAATCCCGGTTCGTTGGACCACGTCACTGGGTTTCTGCAATTAAGGTCTTCGACCGGGATTCTCGTTCTGTCTCAAGCGACTAGCGCACCAAGCGTTTCTTATCTCCACCGGGAACAAAAGATACCACCACGCAGCAATGCTGCAGCACGCCCACATTTGGCTCAAGAGCGCTCCGTCGTTTCGGCTTCACATTCAAAATACGGAGTCCTTCTTGTCATGCGGCAAACCCTATTTTCCAAATCAGACTGGTTTAGGCCTGGAAAGATGCAGATCTTAGGCCAGTTTCCTGGAGCCGGCGTATCCCACGACCCATGGGTGTGGGACGTCATATCCGCCCGATTCCTTTGCAGCGGATCCCAATAACGAGGCGGCATGGATTCTTGTCTGCGAATTTAACTGCGAAACTCACGGCCTCGGGCCAGGCAAAGGGGTTCAGCCGTACTCAGTACGAGCATTGGCACTGTTACAGCGAGGCGGTCTGCAGCAATGTTTTTACTCGTTTCTTTTCATAAGCCCTCGAAACTCCACTTTCTCAATAATTGGGCAAAGCTTCGGAGAGCATTGGCGCCCTGAAATGCCAAATAATGATTGCTAACAACGATTCTATCCTCTGCTGTCGTCGCTCTCTGAGGGCGAGGAGGATGAAAGCGAAAGGAGACGTCGAAACGTGGCCGTGCCCGATGCGACGATCACGTGGGGCCGGTTGCCTGTTTGGCTGGTACGACGCAGCAATGACAAGCTGACAGCCCGTTCAAAGTCGACCCTCGTCTTCTCGCTGCCGTCGAGGCTTTCATCCATCGTCGCTGAGTTGTTTAGAGCCATAGCTCGCCCCAAAGCGAAGATCGATCATGGCCACCCCGAACCCTCGGAGGGGTGGGCCCCGTGCCACGGCTCAGGAGGAAGCCCAGCCTATGAAGGCCGAAGAAGATCTGAATCAAGTCCTCAGTACATCTCAGCGGAGAGAACTCATTGCTCTGGTCAAGTGCATAATGGATGAAATGCAGGAAATCCTTTGCCATCCTTCAGAACACTACATAGATCCGACCCCTGATTCCCCTGACCGCTCAAACGCTCAGAATCCGGAAGCCTTGCCTCCTCGGCAGGAGACGCAGCAGCTGCAGTCGTCGCGCGCCGGCACGTCGATAAGTAAGGCACAGGTAAAAATAGAGCTTGAGGCATTTGATTATTTCAAATCCTGGAAGCAATCAGTTCTGGGCCGTCTAGGAGAAGCAATTGAAACAAGCGGATCTCCAGAGAAACAGCCTCCAAGACCGATGGATCCAATCGAGCCCGAAGCCGCTCCTGTGGATCCTAAGGATCGTGCATCCATTTCTAATCGGACCGAATATCCTGATCCGTTCAATCCTCATCTGAAAAAGCTACCAATGGAAACCAGATTACTCATTACAAATTCCTTTCTTCTCCTGCTGTTGAGCCTGAAATCCTATAACGCTCATTCCCGTGCCCTTTTACTCAAATTATCTACCAATTTGGGTATATCTGCGGGGCATTTGGCTGAGAATGAGATAAAAGTTGCCCAAGGACTTCTCAAAGCCGCTAAAGAGATGTCTGCGAGCGATGAGGCAAAGGCAAGAGCTGATGAGTCTAAAGCTTCGCGCCGATGGAAAATCGGTCTTGCTTCTGTAGCAGGAGCAGTTCTCGTCGGTGTGACAGGCGGGTTAGCGGCTCCCGTAGTTGCTGGAGGAGTTGGAATGATCATGGGAACTCTGGGTCTCGGAGGAACCGTGGCTGCAGGGTACCTTGGTGCTGTCGCAGGAAGTGGCGTCGTTATTGGGAGTATCTTTGGTGCATTCGGGGCGAGAATGACTGGCAGAATGATGGAGAAATACGCAAGAGAAGTAAGAGACTTTGCATTCCTACCTCTAAGGGCTCCCCCAGCCAAATCTGAAAATGAAACGGTTCCTTCCACGATCGATACTCGCCTGCGAGTCACGATTGGGATTAGCGGATGGCTCACCGAACCCTATGACCTCGTCAACCCGTGGAGAGTGCTTGGGAAGGATTCCGATGTCTTTGCGTTGCGTTGGGAACTTCAGGCTCTCCTGATGTTAGGAAATGCCATGGAATCTCTTGTTCGGAGGCTTGCTTTGACGTTTGCAGCCCAGCAACTCCTAAATAAAACGATTTTAGCCCCATTCTCCGGCCCTTTGATGATACCGATGGTTGTGTTGAAGCTCTCTCATCTCGTCGACAATCCGTTTAATGTTGCTAAAACTCGAGCCGAGAAGGCTGGTGAAATCCTAGCAGATGCCTTGATCAACAAAGCCCAGGGAGAGCGTCCAGTCACGCTCATTGGTTATTCCATGGGTGCTCGGGTTATATATGCATGCCTTTTAAGCCTAGCCAAAAGAAGAGCGTTTGGCATGGTCGAATCCGCAATCCTAATAGGATCTCCCACCCCTTCTGACACTGCACAATGGCGTTTGATTAGGACCGTCGTAAGTGGACGTTTAGTCAACGTATATTCTAAGAATGATCTCATGCTTCGATTCCTTTACCGGTCCCAGAGCGTTCAAATGAATGTCGCGGGGATCCAACCTATTGAAAATGTTCCTGAATTGGAGAATCTTGACGCAAGCAAGATGGTTCCTGGGCATTTGCGATATCCACTACTTGTCGGAGCTATCCTTGAAAAAATTGGGTTCGACCACTTGGATCAGGACGAGTTACGACGACAGGCTGATAGGCTTCGCGCTCTCGCGGCAGAAGATGAGCGTCTGGTCGACCAGGCTCAAAGGGAAGAGCAGCAGCACGAACCGGCACAGGTCTTTGTGGACTCCAATGCACTAGATCGTGACCAGAAATGTCCCGAAGAGCCCCCGATTTCGAACGCGGAAATCCAGAACCTGGAGGACGAAATTACAAGGAGAACAGAGGACAGTTTGGTAGAAATTCATATGCAATCAATCCATCTTGAGGACCGTGAAGGCCAGCAAAATCACTTTTTGCCAGGTTAATAGGAGGAAGTTGTTAGGCAACTTAATCGTGATAACCCCAGATCCGCATTGGCAATGAGCTCCCAATTGCCTCGAGGTTCTGGAATCCATTAACGTCCTCTATTTTCATGGCACTTGAAATACGAAGCAGAATATGTATATAGCATAAGAAAGCAGTATAATGATACCCAATCGAGCTATACCCATTAAGCCATCAGACTCTTGATTCAACGCAGTCCCAGTTTTTGCTTTTCAAACTGCCCGAATACCGCTAAAGCTTTCCATCATGATGCATCACACGCCAATCCATTCGTATAGTTGTAATCAAAAGCATGCCATACTCCAAATACCTGTGCCACGGTTGCCAGCACTGCCAAGACGTGGAAAATCTGATGCGAGCTGAACCAAATATCAAATTGACCGGGGTTCAACGATTCGGGGATACGGGTCTGTATGATTATACATAAACTGTCAGCCCAAGGACTCGATCGCCACGAGCTACGCCCCGTTTCGAAGTATATGGCGGGTGAATCGCAGGATTCCCCGTTTGTTAGCCGAGCACGGAGTGAAGCGGATGCGAAAAGTTATCTATGTATGTTCAGTACATACCGCATAGAAGAAAACCCCAGTGATATGGAGCAGCCCTTCCAGGAGATAGTAAGGAAGACCAGAATGTTCAAACATTCCAGATAGTCCAAACATGAGGGTGGCGTGGGCTAGGGGAGCGAGCGACGATAATCCCGTGCAAGCGAAGGTTCCTGTGCGGAAATTGCGCCACTCTTGACCCTGCAGTGTAGGATGGAGAATAATCATACATGATAACGAACCGAGAGTGAGAGTCTGCTCAATCAAAACCAGATAGTGGATTAGCTAGAGAGACAATCAATATGAAAGTGAAATTTGTCTGCATGGCGATGATGATGAGTATCAACCAGAGGAAGAAAATCCAGTTTGAATAAAACCTGGGGTATCAATTACCGTTCCCCAATAAAGCCATATCAGGTGCGGTACGCAATAGAAGACCATGTAAGTCCCCGTCAAGATATTCCCCAGGATTAAAGCCATGATCCCAATATAGTCCATCTGCAGCCACAAACGGGAGACACTATGAGAATGGCTCATCAGGGTATGATATCCAGTGGAAAATGACATGCATATCAGCGCTGCAAACAAGAGGGACGCAAAAACCAGTCTGTCGGCTTCTGTAGCCTCCGGATAAAAGGACAGGAAGTTTTGGTATAGTAGAATTTCACCAACAACCAAGAACAGTCCCGGGATCATATGCGTGTATATGTTCGCAGTCTCATTATGCACATATGTCAAGCTTGCGATGCAGTCTGTGACGGACTGGTTCGGGCGCCGATAGCCGCTGAGGATGTACTCATTGTCTTGGAGCCAATGGGGAGCCTCCTCGAAGGAAAGCAAGATAGGACCTTTTTTCGTAGGGACTGTGGATTTGTTCGCATAGGGTGGAGAGAGCAAGGGCTCTTGCTCAGCTTCTAGGGGCCATAGTGAAGGAGCGGCACCTCGACATCGAGGGATCGAGGACACAGAGATGGCCTTTCCCATACCCCTCAGGAGTAAGAAAAAGAAAAAGTGAAAGAAAATAACAATATGATCTCGAGGAGGATTATAGGGCAAGGAGGAAGATGATAGAAGCAAGGCGATTGATATAAAACGGAGTCACTCGCCTTACATCAATTTTGCAGCAAAAATATCGGGGGGTCATGTGGTATGGACGGCAGGCGCAGGCGACGTCAGAGAAGGCGGGAAGCGAGAACAAATTTCTCCAGCTTCATATTCTTAGACTGTTGGGGGTCAGGCCGAGATATATTATTTGGAGGAAGCCTCTCTTCGCCGTCGGCGTATCGGTTTGGAGGTGGAGAACGGTCGGTTTATCGACGCCAGGGCCGGGGTGGGCAGCGAGGTTGCAGCCACATTCTGAAAGGATTTGCGACATCGACGGCATGAAGACCCATAAAAAGGCATATGTTAACACGGGAGGTTCGGGAAACATCCCTACAGCTCCGTTTCGACAACGCGATTCGATGAAGCTAGAAAAAGCGGATATGCACCTAGACAAGCATCAACAAGCAACTAGGTGGGGAGAGGCTTGACTAAAAGTTCCTTGCCAACGAACAGAGTACAACCGATAGTGCAGGCATGTGAACCTGGGGCCAAAATAGCTAGGTAATCAGGAATGAAGCTCAGGAGGTTTGACAGTCAAGCAATGGTATGCAACTATCAGTTTGTATGGTTCATTATCTAGTTATCTCATTGCAAAAATTCGACCCATCATGTCAATGTCATATCTTGTCGTAGTAGAGGTATCACTCAAGGGAAGGGAACCTGCACGCCGAGAACACAGCTGTCACCAACAAAAGGGAGACCAAACTTTTAAATACTCGTGAATATATAAACCGGCTAATTCTCGCCAGTCCATTGTTTTGCCTCGCGAGGGAATACACGCTTGTACAAACTGATTCCAATCGCATCCTGGGGGTTGATTTTATTGTCAAATGTTGCCTTAAAGTACCCATGCGTCCCCAAACTCTCTTTGATATATCCACTGCGCCCTCGCTTGGTCCATAGCTGCAAAGCTTTGAACCAATTGACGTCTTCGGCATTGAAGAACATGTATCGCACCGTAACAACTTTTCGGTGGATCTTGAACGGATGGCCAGTCAGAATAACACGCTTGGCAACAACGCGTCCATGATCGGGCGCCATAGTAGTTCCCGTTGCAATTAACTGCAGAGCATTGATTGTGGAGGATGTGTCGTTTCCGTCCAAGACTTCTGGGTCCGGTACAGACGTATTCCTAAAGACCAGCACTGGAATCGAGCCCCAAGCGATGGGGCCGATATATGTTGCCACGGTGTTTCGCCCAGGATGCAAGTATCTGTCAAATTTATGAACATTGTTCGGAGTGGTACCGGGTGCCGAAAATAACGGATTGATGACGAGCCGGCGAGGGCCATACTGGATAATCAATTCATCTTTAGATTTAATAGGTTCCTCAACATTCGAATTGAGTGTCATATTGATGTTGACAACAGTGTGTTTGTGTTCATGACGGAGAAGGGAGAATAGAGCAAGTGGCTCTGGACATCTTTGCCTGACGGCCAAAGGCACATCGCGTAAAAGAACTTTTACTCTGGTGCCCGGTGCTACGCCACCCGCAAGAGCTTCACGGATGCACTGGTTTCTCGAACCTTTGTAATCCGCAATCTGAAGCAGGCGGCGCCAATTTTCTGGCTCATGTGCTCGATCCTCTTCGGTTTCCCATATGCTAGTTTTCAGGCTCTTCAGACCCCGGTATCGCGCAAGTCGGTCCCTTGCGAGCGTTCCTGGATGAAGCTCAATTTCATCGGGGAATTCAAGATCGTCGCTCTCTTCTTTCTTTCGACTCGCACGATATTCTTCTATTTGTTGGGCTTCTTCTTCGGGAGACGGATCTAAGAACATTTCTGACTGAGGGTACTCTGAGGGCCCAGCTTCAGTCATGGCGTCTCGGTTATCGTGAAGGAAGACTCCATCTTCAGGGCCGGCCTCATCATCAAGTTCCATTTCCTCGTCGTCATCATACATATTATCGACAATATCGGACCCAGAATCAGATACGTCATCTAAATACCATGCTGCTTGGTAGGAAGATGTGCCCTTTGGAAGCCGCCTCGGTCGTCTTGAAACCTCTTCCTCTTCTTCATCCGAAAAGTAGTGATGGTCATCAAGGAGCACTCCCTTCCTCTCCGTGTCTGCCATCGACACCATTTCATCGTCCATGAAGACATCCTCGGGGGCCACGATAGCGAGATCGTCTGCATCTGCCGTTGGCTCATTCAAGATTTGAACCTCTCTGTCATCATCCACGTTCATCGAATCTTCTTTTTTATTCCGAGAAGATAGAGGCGCGGCAACGATAGACGATACTTGATAGTCTCCCCAGCCGGGAACGTGAACTAAGCGGTCGGCCTTTAAGCCTTTTCCACGCACAATTCCAGTGACGGAAACCTGGCCACATTCGTCTCTTGTCTCCGGCCATTGTATGTCTTCAATGAGCATCCAACTTCGGTCTTCTCGCCAGTGTATCCCCCTTGGTGTCGCCGTACACAATCCCCTTGAGACATTCGCACATTCTTGCCTCGAGTCCAACGAGTGCACCTTTTCCAAAGTAGGGAAGAAGCGGTTGATGGAGGCCTTTAAAGATGAAAGAACTTGTGGTCGTTTCTTGGGAGGGTTTATTTTATCAAGTCCCTGCAGAGACTCTAGTCAAAAGAAGAATCCTTCCAGCAGATGGCAATAGGGTCTCATACTTGAACAACAGCAACGACATTTGAAATACCTTGGCCTTCAACCGATCGAAAAAGTAACTGGGCGTCATGATCGAGCGTCTCGTCCGCCGGCAGGACGAAAACGACGAAGTCCGCTAGGCGGCAAACATCTAAGGCACTGATCAGGTCCCTCTTTGCGGGGATATAAAGTACGTTCTGCTTAAACCTATCGATTCGCACCCGAAGTAAGTCGCCGTGTGCACTTCCGTCCGTAACGTCAACACTCTCATTTAGAGATGAGATGGCCGCGTTTGGATCAACTTGATTCGAGACAGGGACCACAGCGACGTGTCTCGGGGCGCCATTCTGGCCAGAGAATATGCTAATAGCCTCCGCCTTCACCTGCCGCTTTAACCTCTGTTTCTGACGGGCTTGATTTCTCCGTTCAAGTTTCGACATCATTTGCTGGTGGGCTGTCTTCCGCGGGCCTTTCTCTCGAAGCTCGACCTTGCCTGTTTGCAATTACTCAGCACATAATCATATGGATAGGGTGTAGCGTAAATGACGGGAGTAGTACCCTTGTGCAAGTCCTTCAGAGCGCCTTTCGTCGCATGTTTTGATTTGAAAGTCTTGTTCGCATGCTTGGTGGTGCTACGGTGATGGTGCTGGGTCGGGACAGCCATGGGGGCCATGCTGGATCCGCTTGACTCTTTAAATCTAAAGGGAAGAGCTGCCAGTTTGTACAACGAGTTGGATCCCCTCGTGGCTCGTAAACGGCGTCTGCTTCGTGGCACAGCGAGGGCAGCGGGCTCGAAAAATAATTGTCGTGGGTTGAAAAAGCTTATCGCGGCCATCAGTGTGCGATAAGCTAAGGCCGGAAGGCTTGGCATTAAATTTCGACAATCCGTTCAGACATAGCAGCGCACAGCAAGAAAGTTATTGCCTGTCCTTCCATTCCTCTCGCGCCTTCATATTCCGATCGGTGTGATAGCCATGGAAGTCGAAACTTCTCGACCCTCTGCCCCCTCCCAGCGCCGTTCAGCTCACCTCACCGCGGAAGCCCGCGAATCGGCGCTCAGGCTCGCCGACGCCCAGAAGCAGTATGGACGCGGAAAGAAGGTCAACATAAAGAGCATAAAAGACAAAAAGCTCCGAAGCCAGTTGAGGACACTTGAGAATAAGTACAAGGATGCATCCTTAAAAGCAAAAGATGCCGAAGTTCTATTAGAGCACGAAAGTGGCTTCTTGGAACCTGAGGGAGAGCTCGAGCGGACCTATAAGGTGCGACAAGATGAGATTAGGGATAATGTCGGAATCGAAACAGCAAAAAAGGGATTTGAGCTGAAGCTGGAGGAGTTGGGGCCTTACAGAGCAGACTACACAAGAAATGGCAAGATGCTGTTACTAGCGGGACGGAAGGGCCATGTTGCGACGATGGACTGGCGAGAGGGAAAGCTGGGATGCGAGCTACAGCTTGGAGAGACCGTAAGGGATGCTAAATGGCTACATAATGAGTTTTTTTTTGCGGTGGCACAGAAACGATATGTCTACATCTACGACCACAAGGGCGTCGAACTACATTGCCTGGATAAGCATGTGGAAGCGACTCATTTGGAATTCCTACCATATCACTTTCTTCTTGCCAGCGCAGTAAGTTAAAACTGTATATAAGCTACCCAGAACGATCTACTAATTTTGCCGATTAGGCTACCAGTGGCTACCTGAAGTACACAGATACATCGACCGGTCAGCTGGTCGCTGAGCTTCCTACAAGACAAGGCTCGCCTACCTCCCTCTGCCAAAATCCTTACAATGCAATTCTCCACGTTGGACATCAAAACGGCACCGTGACGCTCTGGTCTCCGAACTCCACAACTCCCCTGGTGAAAGCACTCGCCCATCGAGGTCCTGTACGATCGATTGCGGTAGATCGCCAGGGCCGATATATGGTGTCTACCGGGCAGGACATGAGAATGGCGATTTGGGATATTCGCATGTTTAAAGAAGTACATAACTATTCCGTCCATCAACCAGGAGCAACGGTATCCATTAGCGATCGAGGTCTGACGGCGGTGGGTTGGGGAACAAAGGTCAGTGTTTGGAAGGGCCTGTTCGACGCCGCGGCCGCCAGTGAGCGGAAAGTTCAAAACCCATACATGGCGTGGGGTGGTGATGGACAACGCATCGAAAATGTCCGGTGGTGCCCATACGAGGATATCCTCGGCGTGGCCCACGACAAAGGATTCTCTAGCCTCATAGTCCCAGGCGCCGGTGAGCCCAATTTCGACGCCTCAGAAGCCAATCCATATGAGAGTGTGAAACAAAGACAAGAAGCTGAAGTGAAGTCTCTATTGACCAAACTTCAGCCCGAAATGATTTCTCTCAATCCAGATTTCGTGGGCACTCTGGATCTAGTCAGTGATAAGATCAAGCGAGAGGAAAGGGATCTCGATAAAAAGAACGAGGATCCCATTGAAAGATTGAAGAATCGCGGGCGTGGACGAAATAGTGCTTTGCGAAGATATCTGCGGAAGAGAGGATCGAAGAACGTGATCGATGAGAAGAGGGTTAAAGCCGAGACTCTGAGAAGAGAACAAAAGTCGAGAGTTCAGGGAAAAATACGACAGGAGAGGGAAGAACTAGGACCTGCGTTGGCCAGATTTGTCAAAAAGTAAACGACCCAACCCGGGATGAGGGCATGTCGAAAAGTGCATTTGGGAATATTCGATTTCATTATAATACCCACGAACAGTTCATGATAATGTACATTATTGGATTTGTCAAGGTCGGGCGTTTGCCGAACTATCCATAGACTGGATTGGTGCTGGAACTGCAAGGAATGCATTAATCTTCACGTTTCTGATCTTCTGTCTTCTCAGGGCCATACGGTAAAACCTCTTTGGTCTTCAACCCATCACCTTCTACACCGGGCCGGAACCTCTGGGTGCACCAGCCTTCCACCTCGCAAGACTAATATCATACGCTCCAGTGGACTTCCACGCGCTGACGATCAGGTTAACAATGTGCTCCACGCCCTTCCCGTTTTTCACGACTGCAAATATCGTCGGTCCACCGTCTCTCATCTTCGCCGCATCCCTCTCCATCACCTCCAAATCCGCCCCTACGGCTTCTGCTAAATCAGTCTTATTCACAACCAACAGGTCGCTTCCTGTAATTCCTGGGCCACCCTTTCGCGGAATCTTATCCCCGCCAGCGACATCGATGACATATATGATAAAATCGGCAAGTTCGCGTGAGTAGTTCGCTGCCAGGTTATCCCCGCCGGATTCGATGAGGAGGAGATCAGTTCCAAATTTGCGCTGGAGTTGCTGGAGAGCAAGCAGATTGGCGCTAATATCTTCTCGGACAGCGGCATGCGGGCAACCGCCGGTTTCGATGGCACGAATGCGTTCAGGAGAGAGAGCTTTATTTTGAGTGAGGAATTCGGCATCTTCCCTGTCATCGGGGTTTGTTAGATCGTCCGGAGCCAAGAGTTCCTAAAACCTGGGTTGCAGGGAACCAGAATGGAGAACTTGGTACCTCGTAAAGATATCATTCGTCACCGCGGCGATGTTGTAAGTATCCCGCAGGGCCAAGCAGAGCTGCAGCATCAGAGCCGTTTTCCCAGAACCTACTGGTCTGTTTCGGAATATCAGATAATTTTTAGCCAGATGTCAGCCCAAAAACCCGTGCAAGAAATTCAAGGTCATTTCAGAGATTTTACAGCGGTCATCCCCCCAAACAAAGGACTCTCTTCAACTGTTTTGATGTAGAACATTTTCCGGGATACAATCCACATGGAGAACATTCACACATACCCTCCAATTCCAATCGTAAATGCCCTATCATTCCAATCACGCCCTTCGACGATTGGCATCTCGCGGTTCAGGTAGGAGCCGGGACCGTCGAGGACTTCGTGCGTATGGCCATGGGAGCCGGCATCGTGAGCATGCGAATGGGAGTGGGAGTGCTGTGTAGCCATTGTGGATGAAGTCGATGTGCGACCGTGGTCCAGGACTCGTCGTGGGCGGGAATCGTCGAGAGAGTTGATCGCAGGGGAGCAGAAAGTGGGAATCTGGCGGGGTAGAAAAAGGTTTGACGAAAAGCGCGGTAACTCCGCTGTGGAGCTTGCCTGCGGTTCCAGCCACAGGGCGCACTGCCGCCCATCGGCTCATCGACGGCTTTTGGACTGGGCAGGCGGGCAGCCCGAGGGTGATCACTTCAGCCTTCAGGAAAGCGGGAGAGATCCGGAGACGAATTAGGTTCTATTCACATACGTACCTGAAAATCTACCGTAAAGCTACATGCGTCGATCAATCCTCATCAAAAGAATATGAGCCATTCCGAAAGAAGGTATCTTACACCCAAACCGCCCACAAGGTGAAATTAGAGAGAACCGCTCTGATTGGATTCCATTGTAATAAAAAAGTCAAACGCACCAGTGTGTATCTCCAGGAGAAAAGCAAAACCCAAGTCATAAACAAGTAGAAGAATGCCTATAGGCAAGTACACTGAGGAATGAGTACAAACACAGATCAAATGCACATCAAACCTCAACATGGGCATTAGTAGTTTATCCAAAACAGGCAGACGTTTAGGAATCGCAAGAGGAAATGGGGCATTATGGGTGAGCGGATATACTTTGGGAAAAAGCCACAATGCGACCAGATAAATATATCACGGAAAGGCAAAAGCGCAAAGCAATCATCACAAAAGCTTTCACAAAGAAAAGCGTGGTCAAATAAAATCATTCCACATCCGGGAGGGCACGGCTTGGGGTAAAATGGTATCCTTCAGAGTCGCGGAAAACAATTCGACAGCTTGCGTGAATCCCATACCACGCCCACGATAGCCAATCTACTCCAAAGCCAAAGGGAGGAAAACAAAAGACCGTCCACAACACCCAAAACAAACAGAAAAGCAAATCACAAAAAACTCCTCGAGAATATCCCGGTCGGAAACCTTATAAAGGACATAGCGCCGCACCAAAAGGAGAAAACCGTAACGTCCGGTAATGTTGGTCCAAGGTGAAAGGGAAGAACGCCTTAAAACTATGATAACATCCAGAGAAGAAGATTGTCGAGAAGCTTGCCAATTTTAGTTCAACGATGCGGCATGCAATATGACTGTGCGTGGCGCGAAAAAGGCAAGTAAACTACTGTATTATCAACTTGTCCCCTTTTGTCGTTTGCCCCCGACTCGGGGGCTGGCTTTCACTTTCACTGCATTATTTGGTCCAGTGCCGTTGACTTCTGCAGTGCCGTTTTCATCAGCTTCCATCTTAATTGTGCTCGCCCGTCGGCGCTTATTGTTAACGTTTGGGCTTGTATTGGCACTGGTTCCCTGGCTTCCACTTGTATTGGTGCCTTGCTGGCTTTGCTGAGCAACCATGGCGACTGGTCCAGCCATTGGGTTCTGTGCTGGGCTCGGAGTGTGGGCAGGTCCTCCAAGATGAGGAGATCCTTGCACACCAGGAATGCCTAAATGTCCCAAAGCTGGCGAGGCAAATTGACTGGGGCCATTCAGGCTTGGAGTACGTTGAATATGGCCTTGCTGCGACGGGTGCATCTGGTTAAAGTTCATCTGTATAGCACTTTGTTGATGCGGATAACTTGCCACTAATTGTCGGAGAGCTTCAGGAGGGGATAGGTGGGGGTTTTGGAGTGAGAACTGGAAAAGGTGTTGCATTTGTGAGATAATCTCCGCCACCTGACAAATTATTCGTGTTAGCAAAGAGAGCTAAGCTAGTAAGATAAAACAAAATCTTATTATACCTCTAGGAACCGCATCACAGCGACAGGAACACCGTCATCCGTGACCACTGAGTCTGGGAGAGATATTCCTGGGTTGACCATTGGTTTTTGTTGTATCCGCTTGTTAAGTGCTTTACCAACTTTGGGACTTTGTTTTTGGTCTGACTCTGGTGGTTGCAAAAGATGTCGGGGGACATATTCTGTGTGACCATTTATGCCAATGTCGAGGATGTCAATTTGGCCATTATGATTCAAATACACCTTTATCGCTCCACGAGAAACAAGCTGTTAAATAATAAAAAAAGAAAAGCAATTAATTAATTGAGAACTTGAAAGTTGGGAAAGCTGTGGCACTTACTTGGCAACCATTATCAAACCAATACAAGAAGCTGGTCCTGGGGCTCTCAATTACTTGGCCACCAGTTGGAAGGTCTTTTTCTACTGCAGCTTCTACAATCATCTGTATCTGCCTGATACCGCTGTTGAATTGCGTCCAGTAATATCGAGCGAGAGCTGGCGTTGATATCTCGAACTGTTTAGAGCCACGCTGTGCATTGCAGACCCCCTGCCGTAGCACTCCCACTGGAGAGTAAAACTGTTCGACAAACGATTGCCAGTAGGCTAACCCCTGAGCGGGATTGCGGTTCTGATGAAAGGTAAGTATGTAAAGATTCTTGTAATCCAAGTACAGCGCTGACTTACAGAATAGGCGCTCAACTGCTCAGCAAAAGAAAGCAGTCGAAACATAAATGATCTCTTAACATTAGGCATTCGTGGTGGTATCATCATTGCTGAGCCAGCACCTTGTTGCTGGGCTCTTAACTGTGCCTCTTGGGCAGACATTTGTGGTTGCTGAGAAGGCTGTGGTGTTGGCTGATTTTGTGGGGTTTGGCCCTGCTGAGGTTGTGTCTGCGAAGGCTGCTGTGGCGGTTGGGACGAAGTAGGAAGTTGTGGCTGGTTGGGCGGAGGTTGGGAAGGTGGGTTATTACTCTGGGTTGTCGGCGGAGGCTGTGGATGCGCAGCTACAGCTTGATTCTCGTGCATTTGCATTTGAGCGCCGGGTCTTTGCTGAGGCGGTTGTTGGCCTTGTTGAGCTGCATTACTTGCTTGCTGAGCTGCCATGTGCATAGCAAAGAGCTGCTGCTGCTGCTGCTGTTGCTGCTGTTGCTGCTGCTGCAATGCTTGAGACTGTGCGTGTTGACCTTGGATTTGTTGCTGGATGTGCGGGGGGATATTAACAGGTCGCATATTAGGATTGCCAGCCTGAACAGCAGCCATATGCGCAGCACTAACAGCTGGGGCTCCATTGGGCAGAGAAGCAGGGTGCTGTTGCTGTTGCTGTTGCTGTTGCTGTTGCTGCTGTTGTTGTTGTTGCTGCTGCTGCTGTTGTTGTTGTTGTTGCTGCTGCTGCTGTTGGTGCTGCTGTTGAAGTATCATCTGCTGTTGTCTCTGCCGGATATACTGCTGGTGTTGGAGTTGTTGCTGCTGGAGGAGTTGGGGATTATTCGCATCTATACGACCAGATCGGCTCAATTAGCATGGAAGATTGGCATGCAGGGTTAGGATAGCATGGGTTTGACCTACAATTCTGGGCTATCTGAGGATGTTGGAACATCTGATGCGAATGGGTAGGACCTAAGTGGGACAACGCATGAGCACTCGGCCCGGGTCCGCCAGGGCCGGTTGTTCCAACGACTTGAGGCATCGCGCCCGCCATAGGAGTTGCTTGAGTGCCCTGCGGGGCTCCGGGGGCAGAAACACCCGGATGCAGAGGTTGAACCATTCCAGCTCCTGGGGGCTGTGCAGCCAGATGCGCTGCATTCGGGTGTTGGCCAGGAGCCATAGGATGGCCTGGAGCCAGTCCGGGATGGTGTGCCATGCCGACTTGATGGGCGGGAAATGGCTGCGTCATCATCATTTCTGTCGAATTATCTCACTAATGTTGCGATTCGGCAATAATTATGTCCTGGGCCGAGCGAAGTTGCTGTATGAGTAGGATGAAGGAGAGATGGATCAGGGACCTGGCAATCGCCGACGTGACCTTTGTCGCGATTGACAGAGCAATATGTCTCCGCCGATATCGCTGATAGGAGCCGGTGAAGCTTCGAGCATGAGACGAAAAGGTGTTTTCGCTTCAGCCCTTAAGGCCGAGGAAACCTTCGCATCTGATATTAGCGAAGATATCCAGCTCGATGTCGTGTTCAAGAGGATGGTACAACCAAGCGAAGATGTGAGGGGCAGGAAAACGGGAGCCCAAAGTTACCTTCTAGAAATTATAGTCGACGGGACGCAGCCATCCAGGACTGAACCACATTCAGGTACGCGTTTCCGGATAAAACAAAGTGAAGGTGAGAGACGATCTAGGACGAAGGCGATGGGAGGCGTGCATGTCGAGCTGTTCGATCACCGCAAAAACGCCGTCGATGGGACGTCGTGAGATCTGGAGCTAACCCCGATCGAGATATCAAATCACGTGTAGATGAGTCAGCATAGCTGCGGCTCCTGTTTTTGGATTCGCTTAATTAGCTTGATTTGGAACTTGTGCTCCACCCAGCCCGCGCAGGAGGCGCTAGGCCATATACGGGCTAGCGCTGCTCCCGACCAGCAGGTATTTATTGCACGCCGATCTCATCCTCTCGTCAAAAATTTTCCCTCCTATGTTTTCTTCAAGCAACCGGTGTTCTATCGCCAGACAGTCTTCGAAATTCTCAGTGTGCTAGAGCGAAGGATGCCTCTGCTTGCTCCTGAGCTCGATGTGAAATGAACTAGCCATACAATGTTTCTTATCATCCACTCTGGCTAACCCCTAAGGTTGGTGCATTTCTTTGCTACCTCGTTTTGTACCTGCGAATACTCAAGATGACAACCGCATTTCTTCTTTACCACTGAGTCGACCTTGAAGAGAAATTCGGACCTCCCATTCCCGGTTGGTCTGCTACTTGCCAGTATTCTTGTCTGACCATCCTCCGCTTGTGATCAAACGAGAGTGGCTTGTCAACTTTTGGGTGCAACTGTTAACTCTTCGTTTTTAGGAAAACTTGATAACCTTCTATTCTAACCAAACAGCTTCACCTAGGAAGTCCAAACTAATGTAAGTTGCTGAGTCTTTCTTAGTTGGTCTCTCTTTTTATGATGAAACCTTTTCCTTCATTCGCAGTTTCCACGCTAGCCGTCGCATGAACCTATTAAGTCGACGTGTCGTTGAGCGCATTGCCTACCTTGGACGTCTGAGATAAAAACATTTCCCCAATTGAATTGCTTTGATGCCTGTGCACTATGGACAACACTAATGCTTCATAGAATTCATAGGTGAACTTGCAGCTACAGACTTGGGTGGGTATCGCCACCAACCCAAGCGCGGGTTTCGCTGGATCCGCATCACTGATCAAGTTTTGACTTATGGGTTATAACAATGCATGTGATGCGGAGCAAATGAAATCCATGTGATGTATTTGCCGCCTGCCCTGGCCTCTCGAAAGGATGTGTCGTTGAAGACGTGTCGTCTCTTCCCGAGCATTTAAGTTCAGGCCTTTGGTTTTTTCCGATACCTTTGTCCATACCTCAGAATCTCTGATGCCTGTTGCACCCTGAGCCTGAGATTCCAAGTTAGCTTAGCTTTAGAATCCGAAAACCGAAAACATGCAATCAAATCTATGTATAATAATTTTGTCCCTCCTATCTTTCGACTTAGCTGTCGTCGAAGCGAAGTACGCTCCGAAATAATAAAGAAGCATGCCGTTGCGTGACCTAGCCCTGCCGTACCCCGTAGTGGCTCCAGATCGCGTCTATCCAAATTTACGGAAACCCAAAGAAACCAGGCATGCAGCTCGACGACGGATAAATGTACCGCCGAAGTTGCGCCTTGATGGAGGACTTGTATGCTTGTCATTCGCTAAGCTACCTAAAGGGGAATCTGGCTAATCTATGTGGGTCACGTGAGCGAGGTGCTAGTTGGATTACCTAACACCCCCCCATGCAACGAGCTCCAGCAGTGAGCGAGAGCCACAAAGATCCAAAGCTTCCAAATCTCTCAAATCTGTGATAAAAATTAATTACAAAATCCAGATTTATTCCTTCTTTAGGCTTAGCTCTGTTTGCTGTAATATGGTATTTTTGCTGGCTTTACTGATAAACCTCCATATTTTCCTGTATTAATCTGTCACCCCTATTGTGCTCATGAATTAAGTGTAGGGATTCATTGTGAGAGCCTTCATGAGCCTGGCAGCTTTATTTGCATCACTTCCAACATGCTTGATCAAGATTTCATTCTTTTGCATCCAGTCTCTTAGCATATGATGCTGAATCTCAATATGGTGTGCTCTTTGTGTTATAGCTTCAGCTTTGGCTAAGTCAACAGCTTTCTTGTTGTCAACACTTAATTTTGAGCTCCTTAGCCTTGCTGAGCCTTCACTAATTACTCCAGCATCTATCAACAGATCATTGATCCAAACCAGTTCACAAGCAGCTTCACTAGCTGCCAAATACTTCACTTTGGTTATAGATTTCAAGACAGACATCTGGTGCTGTGATCTCCACAATATTGAAGCTCTGTTCATGGTAATAATATAGCTGCTGGTGGATTTGTACACAGGGTCAGCTCCAGCCCAGTCAGAATCCAAACTGGCTGCTGGTTTCAAGCCTTCAGAATTCATATCCCTTTTGAAGACTATTTCTTTTGATTTTGTGCTCTTGAGATAGTGTAGAATCTGCTTGAATGCTGTCCAGCTCTCCCTATTGGGCCTGCTGTTGAATCTCACCAGATAATTGACTGTGAATGCAATATCCAGCCTTGTACATGTAACTAGAAACTGTAGAGAGCCCAGGCCTTTCCTGTAATTTGTAGATGTAGCCTGCTTGTCAACTTCATCTTTGAGAGTCTGATCTAGTGTGAATTTAATACTTATTCCTTTCTTTATTGGTGTTTTGGAAGGTTTGCAGTCTTCTATTTCATATTTGGTCAGTAGATTCTCAATATACTGTTTCTGATTCACAAAAAGGTCTCCATTTGGCTGCTTTTGAACCTGCATGTCTAGGTAATGGCTCTGTTTCATAACCTTCTTGATCTTAAAGCATTCCTGAAGCTTCTTGATGAGTCATTCTGTTTTGACTTTGTTGGGTCCCATTATACAGCAGTTGTTGATATGTAGAATTAGGTAGATTTGCTTCCTCTTGTGGTAGAGTAGGCTCACATCATATGGAGAGATCTGGAATTCTAGAGATTTCAGATAGTCAGTAGCTGCTTGATACCAAAGCCTAGCAGCTTGCTTTAACCCATAGAGTCCCTGGCATAAAAGCTCTACTAGATTACCCCACCTGTGCTTGAATCCAGTGGGTAGTTGAATATATACATATTTGTCCTCTGGAAGAGTTTCATTTAGAAAGGCTGTCATAAAGTTAAAGACTCTGACCTTCCAGTTCTTGGCTGTTGAGATAGTAAAGAAGACTCTTATTATAGGTTCACTGACAACTGCTGCATAGATCTTCTTGTAGTGAACATCTTCTTGCTGTTTGAATCCACATATGATCTAATGGGCTTTGAATTATACTGTGCCACCTGTATTGTTGAGCTTTCTATTGAATATTCATTTGTCAGAGAGAATCTGCATTTCAGGTTTCTTCTTGACTAGAATTCAGGTGCCTTTCTCTTGTAGTTTGGAGACTTCAACATCTAGAGCCTCCTTTCAATAAAGCCACTCTTTGGAGTGTTTGACTTTGGTGATGAATTTTGGTATGTCTGTACATGTGCTGAGCACTGGAAGCTCAGCTCCATTCACCTCTTCTTCTTCCATTGCATCTGAGAGAATTTCTTGCTCTTTGCCCAGGTATGTGAGCTCTAAAGCCTCTAATTTGCTGTCTGTGAGCTTCTTCATGATTTCTGGCTTCTCCTTTGCAAGATAAGCTAGTAACTTGTGTTGCCAGCTGTTCAATAAATCTATATAATTGTACTTCTCCAGGAGTTCAACATATTTGGCTTTAGTTAGTGAATTTGTAGGGATTTGATCCAATTTCTTGTTGAATATAACATCTCACAAGATTATTATACTGTTCATTTCTGGGTCCCAAAGCCTGTAGATGTGCATGCCACAATATTCTACAAATTTGACCTTCTTGAATCTAGGTTGGAGCTTCAAGGATTTGTTCAAAATCTTTATGTAGGCATCACATCTCCATCTATAGACTCATCTGTAATGGGGTTGGTGACCCATCCAGGCTTCAAAGAGTGTCAACAGCTTTGTGTTCTTGCATTTATATAGAGATACTGAGGTAGATGATAGATTCACCATCATGGAGACTGTGGCAAGAGCTTCATCTTATAACTCATTGGGTAGTTCTGAGTCTATAAGTATGCTTCTTGTTTGCTTGTAAAGAAGTTGTATTTCTTGTTCACTCATTTCATCTTGTTGAGATGTATATGGGCATATAATCTTCTGTTGTATACTCTTGCTTCTGTAGAATTTAGCCAGTTGTTGGCTTGTCAATTCAGGAGCTCCATCAGACAGTATAGTGCTGATTTTTTGTTCAGTAGACACTTCAATCATGTTGATCCAGTTCTTTAGGGTTTCTGGAGCTTCTACCTGCTTCTTCAGGAGATAGATTCACCTGTATTATGTGGCATTGTCTGTTATAAGTAGGAAATACTTTGCTCTGCTGTAGCTTGGAGAATCAGAGTCTGTAAATAGAGTATGGCTGTCATCTGCAATATTAATAAAAATTTTAGCTCCAGGCTTTGTAGAGCATGTTCTAGATTTGAATGAGTTGCAAGTTTGCTTAACTTTAGCACAGATTTTACAGAACTCTAGCTTCTTTACTTCCTTTATTCACATTGCCATTCTCAGATCTCTAGCTAGAATAGCTATATTGTGGGTGTTGAGATGTCTCCAGCATTTGTGCTAATTGACCATCATATCTTTCTTGATTTCTGGTGTCTTTGCCAGGTGATTCAGTGCCAAAAGCACATCATCTCTATCTTTATTCTCTAGAGTTGCTGTTACATAGCAGGGCTCTAGAAGTTTCATAGGTACTGAAAATGTATATGCCAGTAAATTGCATATTCTAGGCATTTATAGGACTAGGATGTCATTCTCATTAAGCACAGCTTCAAAGCTCTGTGTTTTATCTGCTGATTCTAGTAGGAAGATGTGTTCTCCATTGACATAAAGCTGTTCCACTGTAAAGCCATCTTGTATAAGCTTCTCAAAGCTTATGAGGTTAACCTGGAGGTCAGGCATAATTCTAACCCCCCCAATGCTCAATTCTCCATTGTTAGTTTGGATACTGGCTGTGCCAAATTCTCTGGTGACTGATTTTGAACCATTCACCATAAGCAGTTGTGTTGCATGGCTCTTTGAGTCCATTTGAACTAGATCTGTATGTGAGGTTGTGTGGGATCTGGCTCCAGAGTCAAGAATTCATTTGTCTGTGGATTCACATGCTTCTTTTATAGAGAAGGCTGCTTCATGAACCAAATGGATCTTGTCTGTTGCAATTATAGCTGTTTTCTTGTCTTTGCCTTTAGAGTCTTCTTTAGGCTCATTAGGCTTCAAATTCTTGTTAGATTTGCAAAATTTAGCCAAATGGCCAGGTTTGCCACAAATATAGCAGTTCCAGTTCTGCAGTGAGCTCTTCTCTAGATTGGATTCAGAGTTCATATTCTTATAAGATTTTTGGGGATCTGAGCTTGTTGCATTTGTATTTGACTTTATAGATTCATGTTTCTTCAGATCTTTCTTGAGAATTCAGTGGAGAATATTCTTCAGTAGATCTTTCAAATTCTTCTCTGATAGGTTCATTCTGCTCTGGCATGCCATATCAAATCAGTTCTGTATGAACTCTCTCTATTGGGATGTAATGTTCATCTTCAAGATATCATGTAGAATGTGGTTCAGTTGTTTGAACCCTAATCTCTCAAATTCCCTACAGATTGCTAGAAATCTCTCTATATAATTTCTTTCTGAGCCAGCAGACTGTGGTGTCATTCTCACTAACTCTGTAAGTAGGCTTTCCTGCTGTATCTCAGATCTCTCTTGAAAGACTGTTCTTACAGCTTCCCAGAGTTTGTAAGCACTAAGACTATCTGATTTCTCAAAGTGTTCTCTGGCTTGTGCAGATATTGTGCTGTCAATTAGGCTGTATAGTCAATTGTTCTGAATGTTCCAGTATTGTGAAATCTTCAAGTACTCTGGCCATGGTGAAGTCTCTTGCCTTTCCAGAATAATCCTCTCAACATCTACTTGACAGGCTACCTTTAGGATGGCTTTGCTCCATGCTAGGTAGTTGCTGGCTCCAGCCAGAGTTATAGACTTCTTCACTGTCTTCATGATCTTTGTGAATTGAGTGATTGCTCTGCTGATTTGCATATTTGTGTCTATAAGATTATCAATATATTCTTCTAGTTTCTCATTGGAGTCTATTTCTCAGTTCTTTTCTTCTTCTTGTTGAGCTTTGTGCTCTAGATTCTCCTGCATTGTTGCAGGTGTGTTTGCAGTGCTTGCTTGGCCTGATAGAAGATTTACTTGCTGTGCCAGCTGTTGTACTGTCTTCTGTTGTCTTTGTATTAATTTCTGTTGTCTTTGCATTATCTTCTGTTGATTCAGCATTATTCTGTACAATATTTAGAGTTCACTCTCCTTTCTAGGCTTCTGCTTGTTGTTTGGCAGGCTGCCTCTGAGCCTACTCAACTGCCTAAGCTCAGTTTGGGGTGTAGGGAGGTTTGTTGGAGCTTTCCAGTCAGGAGTTCAGTGCTCCAGTTTGTCTGTATGGTTCACCATGGCTTTGGTGTTGCCAGATGCTTGATTTGCTTGCTAGATGTGTTTAGCAGATGTTTTGCTCACTCTCTGGTCATGTGCCAGAAAGCTACAGGATTCAACTTGCTCGCCAGCTCAGTGCTAGAAAGCTACAGAAGTTTGCATGTATAGAAGGTGTCTATCTTGACATATGCTCTCTTTAGTGCTTGTAAAACCTTGTTATCCACAAGAATAACTGTTCAGGGTGTTGATTGTAAGCTTCAATAACCAATTAAGCTGTAAATTAATCTTATATGCTTGCTCTTCAGCGCAAAGGGCTATAACCTGATGGAGGACTTGTATGCTTGTCATTCACTAAGCTACCTAAAGGGGAATCTGGCTAATCTATGTGAGTCACGTGAGCGAGGTGCTAGTTGGATTACCTAACACGCCTGCCATATCGGAATTTTGTAGGCCTGAAAAACCGTGGAACCCCAATGAACCCACTGTAAACAGTGCCTGAAAGATTCCCACAGCAGGAATGACATGTTTACCATTCCTGAATAGGAAATGGTTCTCATTTTTAAAGGTTCCTCTGCCTGAGAAACATTCCTGATTGCTGTAGAATGATTTCAGAATGATGAGAATGTTCTCAGAGTTGCTAAGAATGTCAGTAGGAACCCAGTTGGAACACTGTCAGGAATTAACTACTGCAATCCTGGTTCCAGGCACCATCCATTTCTAGTTCTTGCTCAAATATGTACAAAGCAAGCAAATCTCAGAGAAATGAAACATCCCAGATGTATAGTAGAAAGGTTCTGGAATCCTGACTACTGAAAACCAGATTGCTGCTGGCATCTAACACCTCACTAATTGGTATAACATAAAGACTCAGCTTTTTAATTGTGGGAAGTTCAATAATAGTGTAGTTGCTGCCCTCTAGATCTACCTGCACAATTAGTAGATCTAAAACCTGATCTCTCATCATTTCTAATGCTGAAATCACTGAAAAGAATACTCTTTCATTTGTATGCAGTTTATAAATGAAAATGCTGGTAATTTACCTGATGGCAGAGCTGGTTTCCCATGTGTATACTCAATCAAATCATTAACCATTAGTTTGATTCACTGGTCTCCAAGTGAGAAAGTAATATTCTTATAGAACTGTATTGCAGTTGAGCCTGGTTCCATTATGAATAACTTATTCTAATCTTTCTTATATACATTTTGAAGTTTCTGCAAAAATGAGTGAAGATTCAGTAATACAGATAGCTGTACATTTGGAATATCTAGCACTGGCACCATTTTTTCTGTAGATTGTTGTATCCAGAGATTTGAAGAATACTCATCAGTAATATCTTTGTCTTCAGTATCTGATACCTCAAATTCATCTTCATGCAGATTAATATTCAGTTGGAGTAAGTCTGTAAAAAGAGTTGGGCAGTACTTATAGAGATTAGAGATGTACTGGATCAAGAATAACTTATTATTAGTAAATGCTTCTTCAAGTAGTAGAAGTAGTGTATATCTGAAGCTCTCTTGCATTAACAGAATCTTTTCAACATCTTGCTTGTTTGTTCTCTAAACCAGCTTCTTGTATTTCTGATACTTGTTCTCTTCAATAAGAATATTATAATTATTTGAAATTGCATATTCATTTACTTGTACTGGATAATATATGCTAACATATATATTTGAGCAGTTTTTAAAACTTCAAATTGTCTTTATCTTCTTCTTTGAATTGAAATTTTCTGTAATTAAGATACCTGTCTCTTTGGCATACAAGTCAAGTGCTGCGAGCTTAATTAAAATGGAAGATAGCCTTGCACTGATTATAAAAGCTGCTCTAGATTCTGCTCAAGTGCCCACTGGATGGGTAGTCTCAACAGCTGATGCAGCAGCATTAATTAAACTTTATAGATTCTGTTGGGCTGTTGTAATAATCTCTTGCAATTCTGTGGAGATAAATTGAGCTGGTGATTAAGATATTAGAATGAAATTGCTGTATGTAATTCTAGCATAAACCTGAATAATCAAATTCTTTATCAATCTTTCAGAGTAATCTTTAAATGTTACAGACATCATTTGTTATACTACTAGATTTATTCATTCCTGGATCATATAGCATTAGAGAAGAAGTAGAATTATAATAGATGCTTGTATGTACTTCTGTAATTAATAGAATTTTAAATAAGTAAGTGGAGATTGAAGATGGGTTTATCTCTGACAGAATAGAAATCTCTGAAACAATTTACAGTATTCTTTTTAACCATGAGATGTAAGAATCACTGAAATTAATAAATAGTGTGTGCCAGTTTTGATATTCCTGAAAATTCACTGTAACATAGATCAGAAGAAAAGAAGATCACCAGATTAAGAGATAAGCATATTTTAAGCAATGCTGTCTGCTCTTTAGCCATTTTATATTTCTTGCAGAGGCTTTACTTTAAAGCTTGAATTTCTGTAAAGTTAATTTTTTCTCTCTGCTGCAGAATTCAAAAATAATAGTGTTCTTCAGCAATAGTATCAAAATTCATATCATGTTACTGATTCTCTAAAATCATGCAGTTCTGACAAGATTATATTGCTGTAGGCTCTTTTATTCTAGTATTGGCATTCTGTTATGGCATATTCTCAAGAAAAGAGAAACAAGAGAAAATAACTCTAGTAACTCTCTTGCTAGAAATATTCACATCAATGCTCTTGTCAAGTAATGCTAGACTGGGCTCCAAGACTTCAATTACATTAGGAAAATTGGTTTCATGTGGTCTAAAAGTAATTGTATAAACATTATTACACTTGACTTTTTTGATAGCTTTCATGCCAGCAGATATTATATAGACACCTATAAGACTTTAATATATGTTCTGGTATAGGCTAAATCCATCAATAAAAAGTTGATATGAAATGAATATAATCTTTTTACTGTTGGAAAATATTTGTTTTAATACCTTCTTACCATATGCTGCTATTTCTAGCTCATCATGTAGTGGAGTGCTCATATTAAGTGGTTGAGCTTCCAGTGTTTCTGATTTCAAAGTTAGTACTTGCTGCATGAAATATTAGGCATTCAGAAGCTTATATTCTGAATTCTCCATATTAAATCCATAGTCAAGATATATATTAACTTGGGAAAGAATATTACCTTTCAAAACAAATGTTTCTTAACTTTCAAGAGCAAGAACTTCATTTGAGTGGTGCTGTGAATTCAAATGGGTCAATTTCCCACCATAAAATATTGGCATGAATTGGTATACTAGTTGAATTCAGAGAGTGATTGTATTTTCAGTAATTAGATTTGATCTTTTATTCTGATCAACAAATTAAACTCTCTCCAGATGGTCATGGTTTATTAGATCTTTATTGCAGGGGCAGTTGGTATTGTGGCATTGATAGAGAATAAAGTTGGAGGGAAATATAGACTTATCATTATGGTAATATACAAATTTGCCTGAGAAGTATTTAATGGAGCTTCCCCAGCTTCAAGATTGCTATAACTCTCTTGAGTTATCAACTAATTCAGTCATTTCTATATACAGTTTCTTCTGGAAAATTGATGATTTCACAAGTATGAATATTAATGCAATAGAGTTCTGGAAATACATGTTTGTGTGTAATGCTGCTTGAGCAAGTCTTTTGTCTGCATCTGATAATGTTGGTATTTTCTTTGGGATGACAGACAGTGATTTTTAGTAAATAGATAGTATTGAGAATTGTGACTGGCATCTCTTCTTTAATATTGACAGTTCAGTAGACATAAGTTTTAATAGCTTGATATCTATCAGGTTCTGGAGAATTTCTTTCAGTAATTAGTATTGCTGTTGGAATATGCCTGTATGCTTACACCACAATGTAAGAGATATTAGAAATTAATCTATTTAATTATATGCTTGGACCTGTAAGTATAGAATAGCTTCTGATGATTCATTCTCAAGAATTAGTATTGTTACTTGAGTATTCATTGGCCCTGAATCTTTATTAATTTCTAGAGCTTCTTCAACTGAGATTTTGTTTTCTAGACATGATAATTCTGCATCAGCTGCAGCATCTTTCAATATTTTATGTAATTGATTGTTATTGTTGGTATATGCTGGGCCAGCATTGCTATTGCCAGTATCTAATGTAGACTATATAATATTAGCCTCAGCATTTAACAATTCTGATAAACAATTTTTTGCACTATAAAACTAAATTCATCATCATTGGAAATTGATGCCAAATTCTCCAGCTGCTCTGACTATAGTGGTGTCAGATGGATACTGCTTTCATGTTTAATTAACTGATGAATGCTCTCTTCACTTGCTTGACTCTGAATCTGTTATTTACTGGCAATTGAAGCATTATTGCTTGAATTTAAATCTTAAAGTATAATTTTCTTGACTTTTTAGAGATTTGAATATGACATTTCAACAATAAGACTATTATTAATTGTATGAAGTTGTAAAAGAAATGTATGAAATGCTCTTGAAGTGAAGTGTCTTTAATTACTCTTTTGAAAAGTGAAGATTACCTGTTACCTGTCAACAGAAAATATAGGGGAAATTGCTGATAGAATATGAAGTTGGAAATAACTACTTTCATGCTGGAGTCAGAAAGCTTACAATTAATATAAATTATAGTATATCTAAAATTCTACAAGAGTTTTGAAGTTAAATTCTCCAACATGAATGATGAAGCTTTCTTTTTTAATGAATTTAATATGAATGACTTTAATGATATTGCTGCTGCAGGAACCAATGCAGACACACAGAAGATGAATATACAAGATCAGAATTCTGAAAAAGATAAAGAGAATAAGAAAAGAGACAAGAAGTGCAAGTGAAGAGTTTGACATTCTGATGCAGAAGAATATGAGAGAGAGAATTAGTTAAAAGAAAAGACTCTGAAATGATAAGTAAGATAAATATATCTTATAATATTCAGCAAGAAAAAACTTCCTGAAATTATAGAGAAAGTATATAAAATAAATGATGAAAACTTATATATCTTCAGTTCAGCAAGAGTATCTGCTCTGGAGTTTTTAAAGAGCTGGAAGTGTAAAATGTTGAGAAAGATAAGTATTAGTATACTGCTTCTGTAATATTAAGAGATCTTTTACTGACTGCTAGCAAAAGCATGTCAAGAATATAAAGAAGATTAATTACAAGAATAATTCTGATATTAGCATGCACTGTTGCCAGAATTCTAACAAACTCTTTACATATTTTGCAAAGCACTTTGACCTTAAAAAATTCTTTGAGATTTTCTTCTGAACAGAGCCAATTATTGATTATGAGAAATCAAAGTAATTAGAGTAATGGTATATCAAGTGTATGTCAGAATTGAAGACAAATATAAGGTAATGAGCATGACTGACCTTGATTTAGAGATATATGTTAATTTAGCAGTGCAGGTCAAACTGCATGACAATCTCATGGAGAAATCAGACTGTGAGAAGAAAGCCATCAGAGCATGGCAGGAAATCCTCAAATTTTGAAACTATATGGGACAACATCTGTAATATGAGAATGTTAACAAAGAGGACTTTATGAAAAAGAGAAAGAAAATCAAGAAGAAGACAAGAGCTTCAGCTTCTGGAGCTGATAAGTTAATAATTCTTACAAAGATTTGATTTTCAGATGAGGCTCTGCCAAAAGAATAAACTGCAAAATGCTGAATCAGTAATGTGAAGCTCTCTTGAGACATCTGCACATTGGTTAGCATGTATATATATATGATATAGAATTCAAACCTGAGCAGCATTGAAGCTGTAATAATTCTCATAATAATCTGACAGGCAAAGCAGCTGTATAGTAGAAATCAACTGAATTCTTCTTTTCAAGAATTCCTGCCAAAAATCTGCTAGAGGATTGCTTGTCAGGGTTGCATAGGTAATATAAAAATCAACACATCTAGTAGAGCACATGTCAATAAAGCTCTACCTCATTGGAACAGCTCTTGTGTATATAAACAACCTCTTTCACAACTTCATCTCTTTCTTTTCTCTCTCTCTCTTTTTTCAAGTCTTTCTAATTTTTGTTCCTGCTTTCTTCTCTCTTCCATTGGTATTTCTTTTTGAATTTGTTGATATACTTCATTATGCAAAGATAGGTGATCTGAGATATATAAGATTAGTAAAAGCTGATACATTTTGCAGAAAAAACACATCAAAATGGTGAACATGTGTGAAACCCTGAAAGAGAACAAGCCAGACTGTAAACCAAAAGATAAAGCTTCAGATGGGCCATCAGTCTTCTGTCAATAATATATTACAGTATATATGACCCTGAAAAATCTTGGAAAGCTGTGAGGATCATTTGTGTGGATTGGCATGACAATAAATCTATAGGAGGAATTGTATGTAGAAAAGAGTACACAAGGTAAAAGGTCTGGTATTGGCAGTTATATACAACTTCTAGACAAGATTGCCACTGGCTCTCAACAAGAGGTTCACACAGTGGCAGTCTTTTATATGTGCTTGCAAGCACATGACTTAGTGCTTCACAAGAACACATGTACTTTCAACAGCTCACAAGTTCAGGCCCTGGGCCCTTACAGGTGTTGTTTGTCTGTATAAGAGGTTCACAGGCAAATTCTTACAGATTCCCTCTTCTTGTAAGCCTTGGTCCCTCAAGACAGCTGTCTCATTAAAAACCTTCATGAGTAGAAAAACAAAACCTCTTGGGAAAAATAAAAATTTCCTCATAAGAAAAAGAGTACAGTCTCACTAGAGATGTGATATCAACACAACTCTAATAACATAACATAACATAACAACACAACAGAGCTCAATAACACAACAATATGTAGAGAGTCTCTATTGTTCTCACTAGCTTCATGTCACTATTAGATAATGAGCACTAGCTTAAGAGAGAGCTTTCTCTTGCTTTCTCTTTCTCTTCTTTTCTTCTCTAGTCTATATCATCATTACCAAGGTAAGTGAACCCTTCAAGCACTGCTTTGTGTGGGAGACAGGCTTGCAGGAGATCTCTGATGATTGAAAGAATCAAAAATGACTTTATCTAGATGTTCTGTATGCTTGATCTCACAGTCACAAGTTGGTGAGTTCACTCTTGATTGCATCTTTGCTTTGCATGATCATGAAGTTTTGCCTTCATGTGGGGTTTAATTTACAGAGAGGCTGATACTTGCTAGAAGTTCCTGCAGATTTGCAGTCTCCTCTTCTTCTCTCTCACAAGTTGTTGCTGCTCTCCTCTCTCAGGAGAACTTCCACCTCTCTCTTCACAGAAGAAGTTGGGCCTTCAGTGAGTAGTCTTGAGAATTTGGGAAGGGTTTACAACTAATAGTTCTAGAGTGTTGTTGCTTCTCCCTCTCCCTCTTCTTCATCAGTTGTCACTACTTTTCTTCTGCCAGCTCAAGCTGTAAGTGCTTCTTGTGAGCTGACATTTGGTTCACATGCTGATGAAGTTAGGGTTCTGCTGCTCTGCCTCCCCTTCCTGCAGTTGTTGTGCCAGCTCCAGCTGGAAATGTAAGTATTCTCTATCATATTTCAGTTTACAGCTAACCCTCTCTAGATTGTTGTTGCTGTTTCCCCTGCTCTAGCAGGGTTTGTGGGCACTGTGATCTTACAGAGTGCCTGGAATTATCCAGCACCCCCTCTGCAAGACTGATAATAGTGGTTCCAGACCATCTTCACCCAATTGCTGCCAGCTGGTACTTTTGCTGGTGTGTTGTGGGCCAATCTGGTGGTTCTTCCAGACCTCCCACCCCATACTGGGGCACAAGCTTTGTCTGCCTGCAAAAGAGCATGGTGTCATAAGTCTATTTAAAGGCCTGTGCTTATTGCTGGTTTGGATAATTTAAACCAGTTGGCTGTGCATGCTCAGCTCTGCAAGAGTATTCTTGTGACTCAAGCTGGGGCCCAGCTATCACCAGAACAGGAGTGCTCTGCCTGCAAGAGAGCTCAGCAAGACTATAGTAACATAGTCTTTGCAGAGTGCATCTCTGCAGGCTTGGGTCAAAAGTGTAACAATTATCTATACTGTGGGCATCTTGCTTGCTCTTTCCAGCAGTGAGGTTATAGATAGTTGTTACAGGTCTTCACAGGAGGAAGCTGGAGGCTCTTATATAGTTCTTAGCTTAGTTCTTTTTCTTGTTTTGAAATCAATTTGATTCAGTTCAGACTATGCCTTTTCTCTCCCTAACCCATTTTCTAGCTCTACTATCTCCATCCATCTCTTTCACAAACCAGGCTTGTCTGGGTTCGTACTATGAAATTGTTGGAGTAGCTTTCTCAGTGAATGGACATTGCTTACAGACACTCATGTCTTGTTCTTCTTGTCATCATAATCTTCCTAATGTACTCTGTACTACAGCTTGTGACCCTCTCTCTTTAAGTTAATTATCTTGCAGATCTGATACTTCTTTTCATTCTTGTCTGTCTTGCAAACTTTGTGATGAGGTGAGCTATCAATTTCTTTGCAGGTCTTGTGCTTGCAGAGCAGAAATACATGGAAAATATCATGAATTTGCAGATCTGGAGGCAGCTCCAGTCTGTAGGCTTGTGAGCCTATCTTCTCCACAATTCTACAAGACCCATGCCTCAACAAATCCAATTTTTTGTTAGGCTGTATGATCTTGATATTGCAAAGATCAAGCCACACCTTGTCTCTCATCTGAAAAGTCTTTACAGTGTGCTTCTGATTATAGTACTTCTTCTGGTAGACTTGTGCCTTCATAAGCAATTTCTTGATCTTCTCATGGAGCAATCTCATTGTCTCTGCCTGATTCTTTAAATTCTTGCACACATAGCCATACTCCTCAGGGTCCAACAGATCCATTCACAGATTCAACCTATATATCAGCTGAAAAGGTGATTTCTGTGTGGAGATCTGCCATGAGTTATTGTACACAAACTCTGCCATTGGCAACCACATCATCCAGTCATCTTCATCATAACTAATATAGCTTTGCAGGTACTGCTCTAGCACACTATTCAGTCTCTCAGTTTGACTGTTAGTTTGCAGATGGAATGCTGTGCTCATTGCTCTTGTAATCTTCAAGATATGAGTCAAGTCACCCCAAAATTCACTTGTGAACAGAGATCCTTGATCTGTTACTATGCTTACAGGTAATCTGTGTAATCTCACTATCTTACAAACAAAGAGATGAGCCAATTTCTCTGATGTCAGCTTCTTTGTTGTAGGGATAAAGTGAGCCATCTTTGTGAGCCAGTCCACTACAACCAGAATACAGTCAAACTGCACCTTCTCAAAATTCAGGCTTGCAGGAAGATCTGTAATAACATTCATGCTAATAGATTTCCAAGAGCAATTCAGAATTAGTAAGAGTGATAGTTCTTCTTGGGGTTTCCTGCAAACTCTTCTTGAGTTCTGGCAGACCTCACAGGCTTCACAACACTCCTTCACCAGTTCTCTCATTCTTGGCTAAAAGTATTTGCAAGCTATAAGCTTGTATGTTCTTGCTGTAGCAAAATGCCCTGCAAGAGATAGATCATGATAACATCTGATCAGCTCTATTCACAAGACCTCATTCTGAGGGATGTACATGCAACCATCTCTATAGAGGATACTCTTCTCCTCTTTCCACATTGTGAATTTCTTCATGCCCACCTTAATGCCTTTGTGGACCTCAGCTGCATAGTTGTCACTTTGCAGTAGGTTTGGTAATGATGCCAACAGGTTGGAGCTGCCCTTCTCATAAGAATTCTTCTCACAAACCAGGTCTTTGACCTTCTGAACCTGCATTGCAATCTTTTTCACTTTGCACATGCCTTTCAAGACAACCTTCACAAGTAGTTTCTTGATCACAACTCAAAGCTTCATGGAGGTGAGTTGTGCATTCTCACCTCCTCCCTCCCCTCTCTGGTTGGGAGAAACTTGAGCTATCAGTTCCAACTTTTCTGTGGTCTCTTGCTCCTTCACAAGCATCACTCTCAGTTGGTTTGCAGTCTTGTGACCCTCCATGTTATCTAGACCAGCCTTCTTGGCATAATCAGGTCTTCACAAGAGTCCATCTGCCAGGTTCTTGGTTCCTTTCACATGGTCAACTGTGAATCAAAAGGCTGTCAGCCTTTGTGTCCAGCAGACCTGTCTTTGTGAGAGGTCTTGAGCAGTCTGGAAATAGTGCAAGCTATCATGGTCTGTGAGAACTTGAACTGGTGTTCACAAGCCTTCCAACCAGCAGCACCAATATCTAAATGACTCCACAATCACAAGCAGTTCTTGATCATGAATGCCATAATTCATCTCTACAGGTTGCATCTTCCACAAATAAAACCCAACTGGAACCCAAACACCATCCTTCACCAGTTGTGATAGAATACCACACACTGTGAAGCCAGATGCATCTGTTTCCAGTCTGGTCTTCCATTTCATATCAAAATGGTGAAGCATAACAGCTTCCACAAATGCCCTTTTCAGATCTATGAAGGCTTTGTGACCTTCCTCAGTCATGAAAGTGTTGACCTCTCTCCTCATCTCTCTTCACACACACCTGCTTAGCTTTACTTCTCCTCCCTTTAGGAGAGCAGTCAGGCTGCAGGCTATCTTAGAGAATCTTGGAATGAAATGCCTGTAAAAGTTCACAAATTCTAAGAAGACCTGGACCTCTTTCTTACTGGTTGGCTCTGGCCAGTCAAGAATAGTGTCCACACAGCTCTTCTCCATAAGAACACCCTCTGGTGTTATGACATACCCAAGGTAGTCAATCTCGCGAGCATTGAACTTGCACTTCACCAGCTTGCAATAAAGGCCTGCATTCTTGAGTGCCTTAAGTACCAATTTCACATGCTCCTCATGGTCTTCCTCACAAGCCAAGTACACAACCACATCATCAAGATAGGCCACCACAAACACATCCAGATATTCACTAAGTGCCTTCGCGATATATGATTGGAAGGCTGCTGGTGCATTCACAATATATGATTGGAAGGCTGCTGGTGCATTCGCGAGTCCAAAAGGCACTACCAAGTACTCAGATAGCTCCTGTAGAGTCTGAAATGCAGTCTTCCACTCATCCCCTTTGCAAATCCTCAATTTATGGTAGGCATTCTTGACATCCAACTGAGTGAATATTGCAGCTCCCACAAGCTTATACAACACATCTTCAATCAGTGATAAGGGATATCTATTCTTGATCATTTTTGAATTCAGATCACAATAGTCTACACACATCCTTAGTCTGCCATTCTTCTTGAACACAAACAGAATGGGTGCTCCCACAGATGACTTAGAAGGGCAGATGAACCCATGGGTTAGCACACTGCTCAGATATTCATAAAGAGCCTCTTGTTCAGCTTGCAAAAGTCTGTATGTTCTTCCAAATTCTGGCTGCTTTCCTGGCTCAAGATCTATGGCCAAATCATCTTCATAGTGTGGTGGCAGCTTCCAAGCTCTCTTGTTGCTAAACACTTCCACAAGTTCACAGTAGGCTTCCAGTATCTGGAGGTCTAGATCTGCTGTCACCACCTGTTCTGATTTACAGAGGATCATCATGTAGATGGGCTTCCCTCCCTTCACTAGCTCTGAGAGGTTAACTGGTTTAACCTTCACAAGCAGATCACAACATACAGTTTGGAACTCTAGCCTTAGTTCTCTGAAACACACCTTGAGATTGTGTCACTGCAGCCAGCTCAAACCCACTAGCATCTCATCTTTTATGTTCACAACCATCACTTGTTCATGAAACAACTGCCAGTTTCCCTGAGAGTCACAGGCTTTAAAGAATATATTCACAATTCCTTCCACAAGAGTGACATTCTCATAATTTATAGCAGTTTCAATCTCTATAGACATCTTGTGCACCTCTAGCACTAGCTTCACAGCCAATTGCAGGCTAATCACTAGAGATTGACAACCAGAGTCTATTAGTGCTGACCAGGTGATACTTCTGTCAGTTGGGCTTCACATACCTAGAACAATGGAGAGGAGAGCAAGGAGACTTTTCTTGAACAACTTCATTATATTAATTCTATCTACTTACAGCCCTCTAATTTCCTATTTACTACTCTTCTTCTTGAGACAGTCTTTCACAAGATGCTTCTTTTGGCCACACTCAAAGCACTTCTCTTCTTTTCTCAAAGCTTTGTGATTCTTGGTAAGGTCTTTCCCCATCTTCTGAGCAGGTCTCTGAAGTTGACTTCTCTTATTTGTTTGCAGCCTTGAGTCATCAGTCTTTATACCTCTGCAAGCACTTCCAACTGGATTGGTAAACTTCACATGCAAGGCATTCTTTTCAAGGGCTGCTGTCATACTTGATCAGAGTCAGGTAGTCAGTGCTACTATCTCATCAATATCATCTGGTATTTCCAGCTGTTCATCCAGTTTAGCTTGCATGGGCTCATCCAAGTTTCCTATGTATAGATTCTTCTTCATTTTTTCAAAGCTTTCAAATTCTTCACCAATTTCTGTTGCAAGCTCTAGAAATTATTAGCAGTAGGCTTGGTCAGTTTCATCCAAACTCTTGTGAAGATTGAAGATTACTTGCCAAGAGTTTCACATGTGGTTTGCTGGATCTTCTAGCCTCATGTGTAGAAATTTCTTGAGACCATTCCAGTTATTCTTCAATGGGTTGTTTTCACAGTAAACCTTCCAGAGATCTTTTTCAATGTAATCAAGTCCTGTGAGAGCATATGTGAGGGTTTCCTCATCATTTAATTTACTCACATTGTGAGTGGATTCAATGCTGGAGGTGAACCACTAATATTTTGTATAGAAGCCAGTCTGATAGAGCTTTGTGTGTTGTGGTGGTCTCAAGACTGATGGACACTTCACAGGTGTTGAGTTGGAAGTGACCATATCAAGAGATTCACTTTGTGAGTGCTTTTGGGTGGCCTGGAGAGTATTCAACTTTTCTTGCCATTTCACCATTCTCTTTAGTAGTTTGGTTTTCTCACAAAGTTGTTGGATTTCATCTCTTGATGCTAAGATAGACTCTCTCTCTGAAGTCATAATGCTAGTTTTGATTTCATTCACAGTTGAGAGAGCTGAGGTGGTTTCAAGATTTGTCATCTCCTCATGAACTTGAGTTTGTTCTTCAGGTAGGTTTTCTGCTGGTGTTCCAGGTTCACAAGCTTCAGGGGGTTGGCTTCTTTGTGTTGATACCATTGTCAGGCATCACCAAAGAAGAGTGGCAAAATGTGAGGATCATACATGTGAATCAGCATGACAATAAATCTATAGGAGAAATTGTATGTAGAAAAGAGTACATGAGGTAAAAGATCTGGTATTAGCAGCTATGTACAACTTCTAGACAAGATTGCCACTGGCTCCCAACAAGAGGTTTGTGCAGTGGCAGCCTTTTATGTGTGCTTGTGAGCACATGACTTAGTGCCTTGTGAGGACACATGTACTTCCAACAGCTCACAAGTCCAGGCCCTGGACCCTTACAGATGTTGTTTGTCTGTGTAAGGGGTTCACAGGTGAATCCTTACAAAAGCCCTGTAATAATGTTCAGAGCTCTGGTAATGCTTGCTCAAACTGCTTATAAGACAAGAAGCATTGCTGTGACTTTTCTAAGACAATAATTAGTCAGGTTCTTGAGTTGCAAAATGCATACTTCAAATAGGTGAATACAATGAACACTGTCATCAAAAATGCTTATGAAGTAAGTGTTGTTGCTTTTGCTTAAGCTATTAATAAAGAGTTGAAAACTGTTCTTGCAAATATGCTGAAAGAAACTTCTTCTGTCAATAATAAGCCAGATGCATTAAATAGTGAAGTTATTAAAGCTCTTCAAGAGATTTCTGTAATCTTGAAAGAAATTCAGAAAATTCAAGAGATGAACTTTATTGCAGTCTCTGACATAAAGAATGCTCTTTATGTAAATTCACTTCTCATCTTTGAGATGAAGATTCTAACTTTCAAAAGAATATACTGCAACTTATTAATTCAGATCTTTGTACAGCTCTTGCTGCTACTGCTTGCTCAGCTTTATCTGCAAATATTCTCCTTTCTTCTCATGCTGTAAGATATTCTCTTAAAATTGAATTGGAAAAAAGATCTAATAAGAGTGAATTAGTTGAAATGTTCTTTTGATGGTACTTCTGATACTGAAGCAAAAAGAACCTGCTTCTTGATTGACAAAAGCTTCTCACTGCCATGAACTGTTCCAGAAACCCTGACTCTGATCAGAAGTCTTCAATTTTCTCCATTTTTAACCAGTATATGTGCAAATAACATTTCCTGAAATATACTGACTGTTTATTCTGACAGAGCAACCAAAGACTGGTGTGACTTCTTCTCATGATGTAACTCTGACACAAGCCATCATTTCTGCAAAGTGAAGTAGTGATGAGTCCCCTGCAGTCAAAAATGCTGATGAAAACAAGGATGCTGAAAAAAATAATGCCAAAAAGAATGATGCTGAGAACAAGAATGCCAACAACAAGAATGCTAATGAGAAGGATGCCAACAAGAAGGGTGCTAAAAATGAAAAAGCTGATGCAAATGTTACTTCTGATGTTAGCAGTGAAGGATTTCAAAACTGGTTTTTCAGTCAGGGTGATCTATAAAGTGGGAATTGTGTAACTACAGTAGTTATCTAGTTTTTGAAATTTAGAAAAGGTTCTTTCAATTTGAAATAAAACCCCCAATCTCATGGTTTAAATTTCAGTTATGTGTTAGAACTGAGCTCATTTCCTGAAAGGAAGTGTTTTTGGAAGAGTAATAGAAATTCTACAGTGCTTCAACAGTTCTCTATTTGGATTATGGTTCTCGCACAATTTCTAATTAGGTTACCATGAGATCTCAGAAATGTAAGGGTTTTTTGGACCAATGAAATTCTGATATGGTGCCTGCAGGTCATCTTGATGGAGGACTTGTATGCTTGTCATCTGCTAAGCTATCTAAAGAGGAATCTCAGCTAATCTATATGAGTCATATGAGCAAGGTGCTAGTTGAATTACCTAACACCCCCCCATGCAACAAGCTCCAGCAGTGAGCAAGAGCTACAAAGATTCAAAGCTTCCAAATCTCTCAAATCTGCAATAAAAATTAATTACAAAATCTAGATTTATTTCTTCTTTAGGCTTAGCTCTGTTTGCTGTAATATGGTATTTTTGCCAGCTTTACTGATAAACCTCTATATTTTCCTGTATTAATCTGTCACCCCTATCACACTCATAAATTGAGTGTAGGGATTCATTGTGAGAGCCTTTGTGAGTCTGTCAGCTTTACTTGCATTGCTTTCAATGTGCTTGATTGAGATTTTGTTCTTTTGCATCCAGTCTCTTAGCATATGGTGCTGAATCTCAATATGGTGTGCTCTTCACATTATAGCTTCAGCTTTGGCTAAGTCAATGGCTCTCTTGTTGTCAACACTTAATTTTGAGCTTCTTAGCCTTGCTGAGCCTTCACTAATTACTCTGGCATCTATCAAGAGGTTGTTGATCCAAACCAGTTCACAAGCAGCTTCACTAGCTGGTAAATACTCTGCTTCAGTTATTGATTTTAAGACAGATATCTGGTGCTGTAATCTCCATGATATTGAAGCTTTTGTGAGAATTGTATGTGTGGATTGATGTGACAATGAATCTATAGAAGAAATTGTACATAGAAAAAAGTATATGAGATAAGAGATCTGATATTGGCAGCTATATACAACTTGTAGACAAGATTACTACTGGCTCCCAACAAGAGATTCATGCAGTGGCAGTCTTTTATATATGCTTGCAAGCACATAACTTAGTGTTTTACAAGAATATATATATTTTCAACAGCTCACAAGCTGAGACTCTGAACTCTTACAGATGTTATTCATCTGTATAAGAGATTTACAAATAAATTCTTACAGATTCTTCTCTCTTGTAAGTCTTGATCTCTCAAGACAGCTGTCTTATTAAAAATCTTCATAAGTAGAAAAACAAAACCTCTTGAGAAAAATAAAAATTTTCTCATAAGAAAAAGAGTACAGCCTCACTAGAGATGTAATATCAACACAACTCTAATAATACAACATAATATAACAACACAACAGAGCTCAATAACACAATAATATGTAGAGAGTCTCTATTGTTCTCACTAGCTCCATATCACTATTAGATAATGAACACTAGCTTAAGAGAGAGCTTTTTCTTGCCTTCTCTTTCTCTTCTTTTCTTTTCTTTCTTCTCTAGTTTATATTATTATTATTCAGGTTAGTGAACTCTTCAAGCACTACTTCATGTAGGAGACAGGCTTACAGAAGATCTCTGATAATTAAAAAAATTAAAAATAGCTTTATCTGGATATTCTGCATACTTGATCTTGCAGTTACAAGTTAATGAGTTCATCTCTAATTACATCTTTACTTTATATAGTCATGAAGTTTTGTCTTCACATGGAATTTAATTTATAGAAAGACTGATGCTTGCTAGAAGTTTCTGCAGATTTACAGTTTTTCTTCTCTCTCTTTCACAAGTTATTATTACTCTTCTCTCTCAGAAGAATCTCCATTCTTCTCTTTACAGAAGAAGTTGGATCTTTAGTAAGTAGTCTTGAGAAATTGAGAAATATTGGTAACTGATAGTTCTAGAGCATTATTACTTCTCTCTCTCTCTCTTCTTCACCAGTTGTCATTACTTCTCTTCTGTCAGCTCAAGCTGTAAGTGCTTCTTGTGAGCTGGTATTGATTTACATGCTGATGAAGTTAGAGTTCTGCTCTGTCTCTTCTCTTCACAGTTGTTGCTGCTCCAGCTCCAGCCAGAAATGTGAGTATTCTCTATCACATTTCAGTTTACAGCTAATCTTCTCTAGATTATTATTACTGTTTCTCCTGCTCCAGCAGAATTCATAAGTACTATAGTTTTACAGAGTGTCTGGAATCATCCAGTACCCCTCTCACAAGATTAATAATGATAATTTCAGATCATCTTCATTCATATATCACCAGCTACTATTTTTGCTGGTGCTTTGCAGACTAATCCAGTGATTCTTTCAGATCTCTCATTTTATACTAGAGCACAAGCTTTGTCTGCCCATAAAAGAGCATGATGTCACAAGCCTATTCAAAGATCTGTACTTATCACTAGTTTGAATAATTCAAACCAGTTAACTATGTGTGCTTAGCTTTATAAGAGTATTCTTGTGACTCAAGCTAGAGTCCAGCTATTACCAGAACAGAAGTACTCTGCCTGCAAGAGAGCTCAGCAAGACTATAGTAATATAGTCTTTACAGAGTACATCTTTACAGACTTGAGTCAAAAATATAATAACTGTCTATATTATAGGCATCTTGCTTGCTCTTTCCAGCAGTAAGATTATAGATAATTATTACAGGACTTTACAGAAGAAAGCCAGAGACTCTTATATAATCTTTAGATAGTTCTTTTAAAACTAATTCAATTTGATTTAACTATATCTTTTTTTTCTCTAACTTATTTTCTAGTTCCACTATCTCCATTCATTTCTTTTGCAAACCTGGCTTGTCCAGATTTCTACTATAAAATTATTAAAGTAGCTTTCTCAGTGAACAGACATTGCTTACAGAAACTCATATCTTGTTCTTCTTATTATTATAATCTTCTCAATATACTCTGTACTACAGCTTACAATTCTCTTTTTTTGAGTTAATTATCTTGCAGACCTAATACTTCTTTTCATTCTTATCTATCTCACAAACTTTATAATGAGATGAGCTATTAATTCCTTTGCAGGTCTTGTGCTTACAGAGCAGAAATACATAAAAGATATTATAAGTTTACAAATCTGAAGACAGCTCTAGTCTGTAGACTTGCAAGCCTATCTTCTTTACAATTCTACAAGACTTATGCCTCAACAAATTCAATTTTTTGTTAGACTATATAGTCTTGATATTGTAAAGGTCAAGCCACATCTTGTCTTCTATCTGAAAAGTCTTTACAGTGTACTTCTGGTTATAGTACTTCTTCTGATAGACTTGTGCCATTATAAGTGATTTCTTGATCTTCTTACAGAGTAATCTTATTGCCTCCACCTGATTCTTTGAATTCTTGCACATATAACTATACTCATCAGGGTTCAATAGATTCATTTACAGATTTAACTCATATATCAGCTGAAAAAATAATTTCTGTGTAGAGGTCTGCTATAAGTTATTATATACAAACTCTGCTATTAGCAATCACATCATTCAGTTATCTTGATTATAACTGATATAGCTTTACAGATACTGCTCTAGCATACTATTTAGTCTCTCAGTTTGACCATCAGTTTGCAGATAGAATACCATGCTCATTATTCTTATAATCTTTAAGATATAAGTTAAATCATCTTAAAATTTACTTACAAACAGAGATTCTCAATCTGTTACTATACTTGCAGATAATCTATGTAATCTCACTATCTCACAAACAAAAAGATGAGCCAATTTCTCTGATGTCTGCTTTTTTGTTGTAGAAATAAAGTAAGCCATCTTTGTAAGCTGGTTCACTACAATCAGAATACAGTCAAACTGCACCTTCTTAAAATTCAGGCTTGCAGGAAGATCTGTAATAACATTCATACTAATAGATTTTCAAGAGTAATTCAGAATTAACAAGAGTGATAGTTCTTCTGGAGATTTTCCATAAACTCTTCTTGAGTTCTGGCAGACTTCACAAGCTTTGCAATACTTCTTCACCAGTTCTCTCATTCTTAATCAAAAGTATTTGCAAGCTATAAGCTTATATATTCTTGCTGTAGCAAAATGTCCTGCAAGAGATAGATCATGATAATATCTGATCAGCTCTATTTGCAAGACCTCATTCTGAGAGATGTACATATAATTATTTCTATAGAGAATGCTCTTCTTCTCTTTTCATATTATAAATTTCTTCATGCCCATCTTAATGTCTTTACAGATCTCAGCTGCATAGTCATCACTTTACAGTAGGTTTGGCAATAATGCCAACAGATTAGAGCTGTTCTTCTTATAAGAATTCTTCTCATGAACCAGATCTTTAATCTTCTGAATCTATATTATAATTTTCTTCACTTTACACATGTATTTCAAGACAATCTTTACAAGTAGTTTCTTGATTACAATTCAAAGCTTTACAGAGATAAGTTGCAAATTCTTATCTTCTCTCTTCTCTCTCTGGTTGAGAGAAACTTGAACTGTTAGTTTCAACTTTTCTGTAATCTCTTGCTTCTTTACAAGCATCACTCTCAGTTGATTTACAGTCTCACAATTCTCTGTATTATTCAGACCAGTCTTCTTGATATAATCAGATTTTTATAAGAGTTCATCTGCTGGATTCTTGATATCTTTCATATAATTAATCATGAATCAAAAGACTGTCAGTCTTTGTATCCAGCAGACCTGTCTTTAGAAGAGATCTTGAGCAGTCTGAAAATAGCACAAGCTATCATGATCTGTAAGAACTTGAACTGGTGTTCACAAGTCTTCCAACCAGCAGTACCAATATTTAAATAACTTCATAATTACAAGCAGTTCTTGATCATGAATGTTATAGTTCATCTTCACAGGTTGCATCTTCCACAAATAAAACCTAACTAGAATCTAAATGTCATTCTTTACCAGCTATAATAGAATACTATATACTGCAAAGCTAGA